GCACCACCGCCAACGGAACCGCCGACACCAGCTCCTCCACCGACAGAGCCGCCAACACCAGCTCCAACTCCTCCCTTGGCACCACCGCCAACGCCAGCACCACCACCGACGGAACCGCCAACACCACCGCTGACACCGCCGTGGGCACCACCACCGACACCGGCACCACCGCCGACTGAGCCGCCTACACCAGCGCCTCCGCCAACAGAGCCACCGACACCGGCACCAGCACCTCCACCAACGGAGCCGCCAACACCAGCACCGGCTCCTCCACCGACGGAACCGCCAACACCAGCACCGCCATAGCCACCAGCACCAATTCCGCCCTTGGCGCCTCCGATAATACCAGCTAGGCCACCGAGACCTGCGCTGGCTCCGCCCTTGACACCACCAACGAGGCCACCGACCAGGCCGCCGAGGCCAGCACCGACACCACCGTAGGCATCACCGCCGGCTGAGCCGCCAACGCCAGCACCGGCGCTACCGCCGACACCGGCACTGGCACCACCATAGCCAGTCTTGCTGTAGGTGAGGAGTCCACCGAGACCGGCACCGGCATTGGCAGCGCCGCCGACCAATCCACCAAGGCCAGCACCAGCACCTCCATGGGCGCCTCCGTAGGCACCTCCACCAACGAGGCCACCAAGGCCAGCACCTCCACCGATGAGTCCGCCGAGGCCAGCACCTCCGCTAGCACCTCCGCTAGCACCTCCGCCAACTAGACCACCAATGCCGCCCTTGGCACCTCCGCCGAGGAGAGGAAGTCCAAGTCCCCAACTGCTGCCGTAGCCTCCAGCACCACCGGCTGGAGGAGTAGCACCTCCACCGTAGGAAGCACCACCAGCGGGAGGAGCAGCACCTCCGCCGTAGGAAGCACCGCCGGAAGGAGGAGTAGGGGTGGAGCCACCTGGGCGACCTCCGGCAGGAGGAGCGGGACCAGAGCCACCGGGGCGGCCTCCAGCAGGAGGAGTAGAGCCAGAGCCTGGCGTGTTATCGTAGGTAGGGCCGCTGCTAGCAGGAGCGGTTGTCAATGGGGCAGATGGCTGAACACCTGAGCCGCCGCCATAACGTTGAGGGTGAGGAAGAGCGGAGACGATGCTGGTAAGAGCCAAGATCTGAGCAGTGTGGTACTTCATGTTTGCTGATTTCGAGTTTAGAGATTCTTAGTTGAAAAGACGATAGTCGAGTAAGTCGATGTAGATTGAGTGTTGCTTGATGAATTGAATGTAGCGAATGTGAGTGCGCTGCACAAACGAAAGACTGTAGGAGAGTGAGGGAAGCAGGAAGCGAAAGTGTAAGATGTTGTGATGCTTTTTCTTCGAGGTCGGACGAGTCCATCTTATACTCAGAGATGGACCCCCTTCAAGACAGTCGACCAGTGCATCCACACCTGTCGTGGCATCGGGCTCATGCTGGAGCTATTCTGGTCTTGTTTCGAAACTTGGCTCCCACATCGAGCTACCATCTTTCGCACGAGTAGTGCCAAAAGCGGGACAGTCAGCCAGGGGTCTAGACTATGGCCGTTTCAGGCAATCAGGCTCTCTCTTTTGCAACTGTGCACTGCCCGTATTCTGTGCGATCGACGTAGTGTACCTGCAGGATAGAGCCCGGATGTGCTGCAGGGGCATGCCATGCGGGTTGCTTCCTGCCGAATATTGTTGGTGGGACTGGCCCCAGCTTTTTGCCCGGCAAAGACTCATGGGCAATGTTTAGTGCTTGCTTAATTTGTCACTTTTTGACGATCTGCCATGTATGCAAGACATTGAAATCGGCTAATACGGCTATCGAGTAGGCGGGTGTCTCCGTTCCCTTGCTTCCTCGAGTCGCAGCAACGTGCGGAGTTGATGAGCATCAGCTACTGACATGAAGTCGTCATTCATCGGACAATCTTTGTTAATCATGAAGATTTTCCGATCTGCAAACGTAGATAGGGTTGTATAGACAGAACTTTGATGCATCTCACCCCCTTTCAATGCTGCCACGGCTGTCAGACATGTTTCTTGGGTTACAGTTCGGATACGTACGGTAATATTTTAGGCTGCAGATTTCCGTCGGCATCGTGTGCCTGCGGGGCTTCACATGGTGATGGAATGAATTGCCGGGCGGGCGACCGTGCCTGGGTAGAGTGGTACAGAGAGCAAGAGAGCAAGGGTGAGGCTCTGTGCACTTGTGGAGTCGAAAACGTCCAAGCTTTCGGCTAGCCGCTTACGTCGTGCTTGCCAGCCAGAAGGTTTGCATCGTCGTTTCCTACACCCCTTCTGGCTCTACGCCCACGAATTAGGACCCCGCGTCGTTCTCGTAGCATGCTTGTCCCATGATTTTCGCTATCGTTTCACAGGGCCCGCTCCGAGCTACCGGGCCCCACGGCGCTCCGTCGTATGACTACCCACGATTTGGTCTTTCTCCTTTGACTCCAATGTCTCTAGCCAAAACCCTAGACAGGAAAGTGGCGTTAATGCAGAGTCTACCTCGAAACACATGGTCCGTTCGCCCTGCTCGAATTCAGACCAGATCGACATCGACGTGGATACAACGCCCTTCTCGCCGCCGCGGGAGGTGACATGCGCAAGCCTCAACACCAGGACCATGACGGCATTGTGAAACAACTTTACTTACGCACTGTTCAAAGAGTACGGGATATGGGCCACAGACGCAGCAGACAAATATAGAAGTCAAACAGAACCTTCACGCTGGCCGCCTGAGGCTCCTCGGCTCGTGGCACATACTAGCATCTATCAACCTGACTCACAGCTGCCAACCTTCTAGCCATCCTGCACGGCTTCCATCACCAGCAGCCATCGATGCCGTAAGAGAAATATTGATCATGAAAGATCGACTCTCATCAAGGTTCTGGCATGTTCCGTTAACGCATTCATCATACGCTTAGAAGCAATCTTGCCCAACTATTGTTTGGGTAGTTTAATTTCCCATTATCCTCGCAGAGACAGGTGAGTAAAGTATGCAGGTCCCCCGATCGGCCAGCCTCGCCCATACCAAGAGAAATCTGTTACGAATGTGTCAGCGCACTAGCGGCCTTTTCCCTTCAAACAGCTGCCAGAGTCTGGTCGCCTTTGGAATGATGAACCCAGCACCCTTTCAACCGGTGCTTGACTAGTCCCAGCCAAGCGCAACGCTAAACAACATGGTCCCCCTAATGTGTGTTTGCAGCGCGTTACAATCTCACCGCTATGCCAAGCCGTTTTCTGTTCGGCGCCATTCGAACGATTCAATGTTAGCACCTTTTTCTTTCAGGAGGTCAAATAGGAGAAAAAAACGTGCGAGCACGCAAGAACATTCCGGCCTTACGCCTTTCACCCATCACCCCATTTTCTTTTCCATGGACGTTGCAGAACCTCATGGCCCTTTTTTTCTCAGCAAAACATGCCAAATACTCTAGTTGCCTTGTTCCATTGTGCTAAGAAAAACCTCTTCCGCAGACCTGCATGCCTTTAGAAAGTTTGATTGAAAGCCAAGATATTTATTGTTACGACTTGCACAACTCGGGTGCATTGGACCCTCTTTTTTTGGCTCCTTCGTTGCCAAATGTTATCGGGATCCGCAAAGCTGCCAGCAAAAGTCTATCTTATTTAGTTTATTCCTTTTTTCCCTTCTACTGCGTAACCCCCCCACCCAGGGGTGAAGTCCTTGGGCATCAAGGCATCAAATTGTCACTGAATATGCTTACCCTTGGATTCTCGTGTCGTCCGTCACACCGATCGAGAACTATATCGATCTTCGTACTGTCAGCAAGGAAGACCTGGGTTTGGTTGATGATCTGCATGTGTTCTTGTTTGTTTGTTTGTTTCTTTTGCCCTGCAGCGAGCTTATCAACTTTTCTACTACCCATTAGTCTACCAGGCTAGGATCGTGATGGATCGTCGTTAAACTTAGGTATGTGCATATTGCGTAAGCTGAGATTACGACGTTGCAGTCGCAGGTTTTCTTAAGTGTGATATAGAAGGCTGGTAGAGGCTGTATAGTGCTTTCTTGGAGTCTCCATGACGTGTACATATGTTGCTTTGGTATTTGTCGTGATGCGCCAGCTCTGTTCTATGAATGATGATCAATGATCGACGCGTGATGGTGTGCGTGGCTATTGGTCACGTTTTCTTGTGTGAAGAAGAACAAGGGATGGAATGTCGATACTGGACCGCCGGGTGTGATGCTCACTTTCACTGGAAGGTTGGTTTAGAAGCTCGATATCAGATACTGGGACAACTCTAGGTATTGTACAGTTTATGCTTGTTGCATTGCATATTTTGTTCATTGCTGGGTGGAAGGCTGTAAGGCTCCAGTGTAGAAAGCGTAGATATAGACGTGAAGCTGGGGATTGTATATGCCATCAGTAGCAAAGACCTCGATAGTACTGATATTTAAGAGATGAAAATGTAATGTTCTGAAAATGAGTGCAGTACTCAAGTTGCTGTGATGCAATATTTTCTAGGTACAAATTCTACTTGGTATCTTAGAATGATGAAGTTGATAAGCGAGAAAAAGAAAACATGGAATTGCGGGAAAAGATAAATATTCCGATGAAGTTTTCTGTGCCGTAAATAAGCAAGATTTGTTCTACGTTAATAAAGGTAATCTTGGTCATGTCAACGAATGTTTCTCTGATAGGGGCAACAAATCTTATTCTATCGTGAATTTTTGGCTTTGTCCTTTTCTTTTAAGTTGAACAAAAATTTTACCACGATAGAATATTGCCTTGTTCTCCTCAGAAAATAAACCAACATCAGTGATTCAAGTAAGTTCAATAACTACGCAGTTTCAAAAGTAAATTTGGTAGGGTTGTGATTTTTATGTTGTTTTGCAATGGTGAATCTGAGTGAGAATCAGACACTTGTTAAATTCGCCAGTTGGTATTTCCCAATTAGTTATTTCAAACATTTCTGATCAATGTCTCTCATCTGATTAATCAGAATTTCATATGATTTAAGCACAAAATATGTTTGCCTACTAGGAGCACTATGATGATTCGAGAAGGAATACAAATATGTGTCTCATTACATATCAGGGTAGCGACCATGGAGACGCAAAATTCGTGTTCATTGATAGAAAGCGATGATTGCATGAATATTACATGTGTGAGAAGCAAATACTTTTATTTATTGCAGTGTAGCATATCACAGCGGATGTGTCCCATGTGCTTCATAGACATGTGGCTTGGGTGGGTAGCCTCTTCGAAGCGCACGTGACTTCGAACATCTGGATCAGAGATCTCATGTTGCGCTAGCATACGAGATGATCCTCGCAAAAGCCCAATTTTACGAGAATCTGATTCCTTTTCCCATGTTGTTTTTCCCCTGGAATTGAGCATTTTTCCGGCAGCGGTTCGAGAGCACGTATGGCACGTGGTTTCGTATCCGGGGGAAAAGGAGATGCGCGCACGACTTGGAAGTTGCGCTACGTAGTGAAACAGGGGTTCCCATTGCAATTGCGCGACTTGTCGCGCCATCATCGTGTTCACTCTCCTTAGGGCTGCTTCCATCCACCCAGAACACCATCTCCTGTATCCAAAGCCTCAACCCGTGATTCGAAGCATCGTCGCGATTGAGTTCACTCTGGCATCTGTCGCGCAACCGAGGCTTGCTGCGAATAAGAATGCGGATACATCCAAGTAGTTACGGCAGTATGATGATATCTGTGACTAACCATCTGACACGGCAGTCACCGAACTGACGCGATAGTTGCAACGTGTACGCCGAGAGAGGAATTGGCAATGCGTGGCCAAGAATCGTCCACGCGACACAGTAGTAATGGGCTGCCGATGTTGGGCTTTCGAGGCCTACCAAGAACACCTTCTAGAACCTCGATTTAACTACGCCAACAACGCGAAGACGGTGGTAAGCAGGCTAGAATCCGGCTCGGCACAGGCTCGATTTTACGATATCACAGGATATAGCATATCTAGCTTGCTGGGGTCGCATTTTGATCAAATCTCCACCAAACTTACCTAACATGGTATTCCATTCTTAATCGCCCGCAATTGACGTTCAACCAACTATGCGGACCCGAAGAAGCAACCTAATTTTTGGCATTAGTGAACCAATTCGCATCCACTTTCCTACAAGGCCATGTTTGTAAAAAAAAAAGCAGGCCGAGACATCACACTTCTAAGATTTTGCCGTCAGGACTTGCTTTTGTAACCACAATCCCTTGTTCGGGCTCAGCATCTTTCTCAATGCTCTCAATTTCTTGGATGGCCTAGCGGGTATCCTTCCCTACACTTTTCCACTCCACCATCCACGTACTAATGAGCACAGAGGCACTCAGAGCCGCTGTTAGCTAAGAATGTGAGAAACTTTACGGCGGACGTAGGGACAAGGCCAATGATCTTGGGCGATGACTACGGTTCTATTGCACCTCCCCACTCGAGCACGAGGATTAGACACACCATAGAAGGTGTGAAGAACAAAAGGCCAATGAGATCGAGACGCTTGATCTGAGCGAAGACTGAAAGGTCAGGTTTCAGCGGAGACTGAATATGAAGGAAGAACAGAACGACGGCGAAGGCGCATCCGCCAATGGTCAGGTTGGTGTAACAACACCAGCGCCACTCAAGCCCATTTTTAACACGTTAGCTAGTGATCGATATGAGTAGTCGAAATCGGCATACCTGTTGTCAGTGAAGGTAGCGTCGAGAAACGATCCAAGAACGGACGGTACGCTGAAGGAAACAGCAAAGAGTCCAATGAAGACAGGTCATGTGCGAAGCGGCACCAGCGACACGATTACCATCATGGCGCCACTACTGACACCTACTCCTCAGATACCCGCAATAGCCAGACCGACAATTACTGAGTGAAACTGTCAGCTCATACGCCACCACACCACTCAATCAATCTTTTTCATAATCCACAAACGTAGGCGCAGACCAAGAATAGCACTCCCGAATTCAAACAGAAGGATTGCTACCAAGAATGTGCGGTCAGCATCATACAACTGATACGGCTTCCCATAAAACAGCTGAGCACGGCGCATGTAAGCATGTAGGCCCTGCCATACCACCTGATGTCCGCAATGGAGCTAAAGTTATCCGCGACGGATTCCGGCGTTGGAAGAGTTAGATGCAGGGACCAGCTATCCGTCTCTTTTATGTTGATGAGAACATGCAAGGTTATTAGGCAGAATGAGTGGTATCATACGTTGTCTGTTTTGTTACTACGAGTGGCGGATGGGTAGCATGATGTTGGTACAGCGACGAGTCATCAAGTAACGAATAAAAATTCGAAGATAACATGACTGATGGGTCTCTGAATCGCTCATTTTCACAAATCATATTCTGACTCTAAAAATTGCTGTATCATTATCGTGCTCATGGCGTATTCGGGCTTGGTGGTCCCCTTGCCAATTTGAAGTAGCCTGGACTCAAGTTCTGGAACACCTGCGCTGGATCGTACTTTTTGCTAACAGCGATGAGCTTGGCGACGTTGTCAGCTCCATAGCTAGCGATGGGATCCATGAACTGGGATGCATAATTCATGTATATGTAGTCGTTGTCTACACTTTTTCTCTGCGCCTCAGCCTTGACCTTGTTGATGATGTCTGAGTAGCATTTCAGGATGGCGGCTTCGCCTGCCGGGTCCGCAAACGATGCGCTTAGGTTCATGATGAAGATTGGTCCTTTGGCGGGACTTAGACCGAGTGCGTTTCCGCCATTCTTCTGCATGCCCTTCAGTTGGCCTTCAGTAATTGGTTGAATAGAGATGGTTGGGAAAGCACCCTTGATGTTCTGGATGGCGGTTATTTCCGAGTAAAAAGTGTCAACCAGGAAGGTGAAGAGGTCACGGTCAACCCTGAAGGTAGCATCCCAGTTTGTTTGCAGGGAGCCGAGTGTGTCATTGGGCGAGCCTCCGTTCAATTTGATCGTCATTTCACCATGAGAAGCAATACCTGTGTTGTCTGATATGGGTGTAAGGGCGTTGATATCAGCAAAGACAGAGGCGTTAGCCACTGGCCGCGCGTAGTGAGTCTGCACGATAGCAATCTTGCCAGCGTTGGGAATGGTGCCAAAAGACACGATTTCAGCTGCATCGGTGTCTTTTGAAGATCCAACGGTAGCGAAGTTGAAAACGGCATCCAGAACGGCCTTGAAGTTGTTTTCTGTAAAGATGCGCTGGCCACCCCACATATTGCCTTGGGGAAAAGCGTGTAGCTTGAAGTTGGTTACGACACCAAAGTTACTGCCACCCCCACCCCGGAGAGCCCAATATAAGTCAGCAAACTCGGCGGGACTGGCAGTAACAACCAGGCCAGATGCCGTAACGACTTCATAACTTGCAACGTTGTCACAAGCCCAACCCAGCTTGTTGGAAAAGAATGAGATCCCGCCACCAAGTATGAGACCTGGCACCCCGACTGGAGCCATCTAAATTCTTGTTATCAGAGAGCTGTTGCAGTTCTCAAAAGGCAACTTACCCTCCCTCCAACGACGCTGACCCCAGACTTTTCGATCGTCGTATATACATCAACCCATCGAGTTCCGGCACCAACATTGGCATATTGCTTGTCATTTGAAACAGCAACGTGGTTGAAGCGCTCCATGGAAACGGTAATGCCTCCCTCGATGCTGGATGCCCCAGCAAAAGCAGCATGACCGCCGCCTTTCACAGCAAATGGACATTGTGTCAAACGAGCTATTAACAGCCACGAAGATACTTCAATGGTGCTAGATGGTTTGAAGACACATCGCGGGTTCACGGCACCCTGCTGGATGCTCCAGTAGGCACTAGTGAACGCATCGTACGCAGACGAATTGTCGAAAAGCAGCTTGTCGCTGCCATAGATGCGCTCCAAGGATGAACACTTCGAAATGGTCAGCAAAGCCAATAAGTCAATACGAGTTCGAGGTTCGGAACGTACGGCAGCAGAGCACCCGCTGAATGATCGTCTTGAAAACTCGGCAAGCTCGGGGATGGCGGACACGTCGATACCATTGGCGATCAGCGCCTTGGTAATGTTAAAGTTTGCAGGCTTAAAAGCACCTGTCGTCTGTGCCGAAGCAAATGCGACAAGGGTACTGATTTGCCAAAGGACCTTCATTCTGGGATGGGTGGAAGGGTGGAAGGAAGACGGACGGGTTCCCAGATACCCAGCCCTGTGCTGAGCAGTACAAGCTTAATTTATTCTGGGTGTTAAGACTGGGGGGTGATCCGCGGCGGACAGTTGGCGCCTGCCGGCATGCTTCATCTCGATTGAGTTAACAGCTATGCTTTTAGACTTTGACGGGCGCAACGACTAGGATTGTTAGTGGCGAAGTTCGTTGTTATTCGATGAAGATTTAAACTAAGTCGCACCCTGCGTTAGTGTATGCTGCATTGCGAATCCTTCGCATCATGAACATTATTGCAACAACAAAATGTATCGCACTGTTCTTGCAACTGGCTTTCTAATCGACTTTCGGGTGAGCTTAGAAGTAGGCAACTTGCTGACCTTGTTCATGTCATGTGATGGTGAAGAAATGGGAGCGGAACGATGCTGAATGTGAACAGACAGTAACCTCGTCAAATGTCAAAAAATCCAGTGTGCCAAGATCTATCCAATGCAGCAATGTCCTGTTGCGAAGGATGTCAACATTATTTCAGCTCAACATTTGGGCCTTTATCTTGGCGTAATCCGCTTGGAGCCGTACAATTTGCGTGTTTGAGTGTTACCCAATCACATGTCCCGTTGTAACCCGACGACGTGGTCAATCGATATCTTTTTGCCCCATCAAGTGTCTGCTCCGGCACTCCATTTCTTTATTACAAGCAATTGCTTGTCATGTTAAACACGACCTCGCAACAACAACGGACCAGCGAATTTTTGTCCTTGAATACGTTGCGCACAAGAATCCTTCAAGATCTTTGTACTTATTGGTAGTATCTAACGGCATGTTCGAATCCTACTGAGCTCATTGCGCCATCAGGTCGGTGCCGTATCTGCCATGGATGCGTTGAATATGTGATTGTTCTCCTTGAATATGTTCCGGATGGTACGAGGTAAAAAGCTATGCATAGTGAATAAGAGTGGTAAGTACAGCCCGGCGGTGACTACCTGGCATGCATTGGGTATTACGGCCGCCACGGCAATCTCATTCTCATGGAATAACTCTGCCCGTACACACGCCTTTGAATTTAAGGGCCTGTTCGGTTCCTTCCGTCTTACGTTTGCGTTTTTAAGCTGGTTGAGGTGAAGCTGTTACTAATAGTAATGATAATTGGTTTCGCAACTAGACTTGTCTTGTCTATAGGTGCTTTACAAAACAGAGCTCCATTTTGCTTAGAAATATAGATATGGAATGCAAATCAGCACTAAACAGAGCTCATTTTAGTACTATATCAGCGCTAACAAGACGGAGCCTCGTTCTACACTCGCTAAATGCCCGTTTCACCGAACATAACAGCGGTTTGAATCCCGTTTTCAAAACGGAGCCCACCGGAACAGGCCCTACGTCTTCCTGGGAACTGCTTCCAGTCCCCTAGATCCTACACTTCGTATGCTTATGGGTCATCCATGGAGTGCACGGAAGGTACCGTTCTCGACTACTAGGGACAACGTGGTATTATTACGAAACTTGCTCGGCTTTCTAAGAGACTCCATCCTTGAGAATTTGGGCTGTGCATGAAATATATAAGCGCGTAGTGTAAAGCGCTCAGATACACAGTTAGCCATCTCCACAAGCGTCCGCAGCCGTTCGATACTTGCCGATACTACATAAATATGAGGACCTGAGCAGCCAACTCCGACGTCATATCCCATGATAGCACCTCGAAAGAACCCCATAACCAAGGATGAGCTGATGCGTACAAACGTAGCCATGCTCATCCTGGCCTCGTTATTCATCCTGTCACGAGTCATCCTCCAGATCACTAAACGCAGAGCCTTCGGATTGCCCGACTTTTTCATTTACCTCGCTTTTGTCCTGTTTGTTTCTATGTGGACATGCTACATCGTTATCACTCCCACCATGTTCAGAATTTTTGATGCGCTTGAGGGTCTCACCCAACCGTATGCCACAATTTTGGATGACGCTGGGATGCTGCTCCGGTATATCACAGCCGCTCAGATGCTGTTCTATACGCTTCTGTTTACTGTCAAGATGTCTTTGTTGACATTTTACCGAAAGATTTTGACGGGATTACCTGCCATATATGACAGAATATGGTGGGGTACCTTAGCGTTCTGCATTGTGGTCAGTATCTGCTCCAGCAACTGTTAACTATTAGTACAGGCACTGACCTGATCATAGTCCTGGATCGGCAGTATTTTCACGAGCATTTTCAGGAGCGATGACCTCAATGAAGATCTTTCAAAAGGAAGATTCGCTGGCACTCCAAATGAGCAACAGAAAATCATCTTCAGCCTCTATTTTGCATACTCGGTAGATGTGGCCACTGACCTTGCCAGTAAGTCAGGAAAGCTCAATGGAGCTTTGCAAAGCTGTGCTGACAATTTCAGTCATGTTTCTCCCCCTGTTTCTTACATGGAACTTGCAGATGTCTATGAAGCGAAAAATTGGAATCTCCATACTATTTGGTAGTGGCTTCGTTTGCATAGCTTTCGCTACGCTCCGGGTCATACAACTGGGCATTGATCGCCGCGGTAAAACAAGGATACCAGAACTTGATTGGTCATTTTTGTGGAATGTGGTGGAATGTGCAATATGTATGTCGATTACGGAAACTTTTGCAAAGACTGCCATGTGTGCCGCTAACACAAAGTCCAGCTGTCATTATTGGATGTTCTCCTGCCTTTACAGGCATGATTCGTAAACGAATTGTCACCATACCAGGACCAGCATACGATAAGCAAGGCTATATCAAACAAGTGTCTAATGAGGTGGAGATGGGTATCATGACCGGCTCTGCAAGCCAACAAAGACAAATGGCTCGGGATCCGTACATGGAATTTTTTCAAAACAGCCAGGAAGAGTTAACAATAACCAATAATAACAGTCAAGAAGAGCTTACACAAACCACTGAACATTCCGTGGCTGTACGGGCTGTTAGTTAGGGTGAACAAATACGAACTTGCGAATTAAAATAAAGCAAAAGTAGGAACATGTGATGCAATAGATCAGAAGCGAAAAGAATCAATCATTGGTAAAAGGGAATATGTCCACCTATCCCAAACTTCCTCTCAGCATAATATCCATGATCCATGAACGTGTGTTAACGTTATCACGGCATATAAATGGCGTCATCACGTTTAACAACACAAAGAAACACAAACCCTCCCAATCTTGGCATCTCCATACGACTCTCGCATTGAACCCGACATTTCGGTCACAGTACTCTATGAAAACAAGAAACTTTACAAACGCATAAAGTGCCAGCGACTTGTGTTCATGATACTGCTATCACCCAAACAAAACATTGACGTCACAGCACGACTTGAATCAAACATCAACCAAGCAATGGAAAAAAATGTATAAGATCGAACAGCATCTTCAATTGTCACCCGCAGTACATGCTAATGGGGGGAGCCATCTAGGCTCGATATGTCAACCCCGGCTTCTCCAAAACGCGTCTACTTCTTTTGTCCCGTATCAATTCGGACTGATCTTTGTATAATAAACATATGTGCAAATCTCCCTCGATATCCAACTCCGCCTATATGGTGCTCAAGCGCTTACGCGCCAGGAGTGCGACGGCACCGAGGACGGCCGCGCTCCAGAACGTTGGGGTCGCAGGTGAGGCGGCTGTCTTCGATGCAAGTCAATTTTGCGCCGCCTGTTCATATTGATTAGTTTGTTTTCCTTCTACTACTACTGCTGCTGCCTGGAGTTTCTTGGACTTACAGTTGTTGATGTCGTCAGGGACACAGCGACCGCTTTGACCATTGACGTTGCACACATCCTCCTTCAAGCTCGTGTTTGCGATGCAGCAAGCACCGGTGGGGACGGGGCGGTTGGCGTTTGCGCCCTGAGGCATGGCAGCTGCGAGAGCAGAGAGGGCGAGGATGATGGCGGAGGTAGTGAAGTGCATTTTGAAAATTGTTGTTGTGAAGTGATTTGCAACAGTGAATAATGTTTATGATAGTCAAGTTTGGATTAACGAGTTTTCAAAAAGACCGACCAGCGGAAAAGGCCAAGAATTGAATGGAGAGAGAAGAAAGGAGAGTGTAGTAGAGAAGACTGAGGCTGAAGATGCTGATGAGGCCATTCTCAGGGCGACACAAGGTACCCTTCTTATACTTGCCAAACCTGAAGGAACAGGCCCGCCCTCGGCAAGGAAATTCCTCACGATGGCATTGCCTTTGGCGCGCCGCAACACCCGTTCATTACTACCAAGAAAACACAATGAGACCATCGAGACAAACACAAAACAGCAGGGTGCGGCTGCAGAAGCCTGGAAAATACGGCGGAGTAGCCGCATTGGGTGGCGCAAACCCGGCGCAGCAGAGGATGTGGTTCATGCTACTCAGGCGCGTGGGCAAGAGAGGCAGTGCACGATACGCAGATCATACAGGGACGTCAGCAAGCGGCTTCCTTTGAGGGCTTCGAGACGTCAGCAGCGTGTAGCGAGGCGCCAATATATGAAACTGTTATGCTGTTTAGGTGGTTTAGGTGGCGGGTCTGAAACGTTAGCCTCCGCTGCAACATCCACATTGGCAGGTGACGGGGGGGGGTGTTACCCACTCTTATATGCGGAAAACACGGGCTTGGGACATGTATGATTCATGGTGACAGGGCGCGTAGAGACAAGTATTGTGCTTGTACTATGCGTATGTTCAATTGACACTTCGACTTGCAATTGAAGAAAAGTAGTGCATCAAAGAAGATAGAAGTCCCCCTGCGCTCCTGCATCCACCTTCAAAGTATCAATGATGAGATACCGATCCAATTCCTCCTGCGTCAGAAGCGACACATTCCTCATCTTGCCCAACAACCCCTTTGTCCGCAGCACCCGAGGAACAAAGCTCTCATGCACGCGCCACTTCACCGGCCCAAGCCATCTGCCATACCATCTAGCAAAGTCCTCAATGACAGCCGCAACAGTGGCATCGAACCGATCCCCATAGTCCAACCCCAAAACCGTGTCACACATCTCATACGCCGCGCTGAATAAGAACATCTTACCGCGAGGCAAACGCCGTACATGCTGCCGACTCTCCACCAGCAGCTCCAGCCCATACCGAAGCACCCTCGCATCCGGCATCCGCTGGCCCCTCGCCTTGCACGAAAAAATGCAATGCAACCCATTGAACAGGTAAACAAACGCTCGTAGCTGCGACCGCACCCCCGTCTGCTCCAGCAGCGCCACACTGTCCCACGCCATGTGCCGGGCGACCGCCAGATCCGGGTCTGAAAAGACAAGGCTGCTCCGCGTGCGCAGCTGGTGCACCATGAGGTTTGTAGCGCTCGCGCACAAGATGAGCAGCTCGAAGGGCGAGGTGGAGACTGTGGCGGGGGTGAGCCAGCCGCTCCAGGGAGTTGTGTCGTTGTGGCATGTGTTGAGGGTCATTGCGCGGGCTTGCTCGTAGAGCATGGGTATGCAGGTAGCACACCTTTGCTGGGGCTTGAGGGAGGCGAGAGCTATGATGTCGACGATGTGTAGAAGCACCTCGGAGAATGTGGAGTCGGTAGCGACGTTGCGTGGAGCTGGGATTGAAGCTTCTATGTCCTGGGCTTGCTGGGTGTCTGGGGCACCGATGATTGAGATTTCGTTCAGGGGTCCGTGGAGCGTGCGGAAGTGGTCTAGAGAGGTGCGGATGAGGGATGTGGGATAGTCTGGGTTGACGTTGATGCAGATGCTCAGGCCGTGTTGTTCCGTGTGTACTCTGTACTCCTTGTCGGTTATCCGATTTCGATACAGCTCACCTGGCAGTCTTCGCAGTACGTGTGCAAGCTCGACTATTCTCAGAGCTGAGACGAGGCTGCTGAGTTGACTGGCTGGGATGAGCATGATTTGGCGCTCGTGCATGCTCATGGGCCAAAAGCGTCTGTAGGACCGGGCGCATATCGAGGTTTTTACGAAGAGTTTTATGCGGATGTGCATCATGCCAGGTGGCAGGTGTTGGGCTGAATCTATGTCTACAATGATCATCTTGAGGAATGCAGAGGCCCATTGGATCAAGAGGTATGCGCAGTCCATGTCTATGATTACCCATTTATTTGAATGGTCAAGTACATCTCGGCCGATGGTATACAAATTTCTGTTGACGCGAAGCACTTGTGTCTGGATCGCTGGCTTGAACCTATGCTTGAGTGGACATTTTGTTCTGGGTAGTTTGGTTATCATGCCACCAGTATTGCGGAGAGTCAGTAGCTCCTCCATAATTTGGTAGCATATCTCTTTGGGTAGGTTATCTAGACCGACTTTTCCAGAACCCATGTTGAAAGCGGTAGAATGGTGGGGGCTGCTGGAGATAATGTTAGAGAAAGACATAAATGTCAGGACTGGAAAGCTATAGCGATGTCGCCAATGGCTGAGGGCGTAACATTGTCCTAAATGAAAGAACTGATAAACTGAGAGAACATTCTTGAGTCAATGAGTATGCACAGTACGTGGCATGGGTGTGAAACACAAAATATAGTGAACAATTGGGGTTTGAATGAATGACAAAGCCCGTGGAAACCGAAAGGGACAGCCATCTTTCACGTCCGGACCTTGTTTGTCACAACCGCGGTAGTATCCCGGGGATGAACAATTGTTAATCATTGAAGCAACATAGTACTGGCATGGACTTTTTACAAGTATAGAAAAAACAATGAAGTAGCAAAGCGCGACACAGTAGCGCATCAGTGGCGACGTCACGTAGATACAGTAACAAGACAAAGTGCAAAAGCAGTGCAGCTTTCCTGGCAAATAAGATACGAAAGAAAGCAAACTTATAATACAATCACTTGCACAATCGGCTTCCGGTTTCAATGCAGCTCAGAAGTTTGATGTTGCAGGAATCCCTATTGCGTCAAGCTAGCACTTTACCATAGTACTAGCAAGTTTAGCGCATATGCAGGCTATTGATAAAGCCGGGCACAACGAGAGCTCTCTAATCCTGCGCCACAAAGTCACTTTCTCAATAACTTAGCTACTATTGTGTTTCCCATCGTTAGGCCCTTTGCCTTACTAGACTAATCTATCTCCTAGCAGTATCGCTCCGCGCTTGCAGGAACATTGGAAACAAACAATAAAAGAATAGCAGTGTATCCGGCGGATACCGCCATAATCATGGAGCTCGACACTCTTAGGAAGAGCGATACAAGAAAAGACAAGATAATAATTCACGCTGAAATAACTATCAACTGAACATTTTTTGACGACTCGTGCGACATAATAGCCAGTGGTGCAATGATAAAGACAGCCGTTAATGATGCAGTCGTCACCCGTTCGATGATCTCAGCTATCAGTATCGTGTTCTGGTAAGACCACCGCTGCTGTCTACCAGCGACCGATCCAAGGCCTTCGCTATTGCTTCTAGCCTTTCTCGACAGTCTCTAGTGCATAAAGGCCCGCAAGTACTTGTGGAGCCAGCGCTGGAACGGGTCGTTCCGCGACCGCGTCCCTAGGTCCACTCTAAGTAGCCTATTCTTGTGTGCTTCGTAGAGACTAAGATGGATCCGAGGCCTCGCACACGACAGATGCTCTCTACTAGACCAGCATCATAGCCCACTCAGATAATCGCAGAGTGAGAGATGTGCCAAGCTGCAGGGCCACAGGCAAGTGATGAATGAACGAGCCGATCCCGCCCCGCTGCCAAGTAGCGCTTACGGCTGCGCCTCGACAGGACCAATTGCACCACTCATTGTTCACCATGCCAATATGGAGGCGGCCACAAGGCTGGGGCTGAGGGACAGCGACTGTCGACAGCACTGCTGCTACAGACTCTGATCACCCCCCTTATGTTCGCATGCATGGACTTCCGACGGTCATTCATCTGTTTTCCTTTCCCCTCTCGTCGTGACGGCCCCAAATGCAACGCCAACTACGCCGCGAAGACTATACCGTAGGATGGGTGTGCGCGCTACCCGTCGAGCTGGTGGCAGCGCAGGAGATGCTAGATGAAGAGCACCTTGATCTCGAGCATGACACAGCCGATAGCGACGAGAACCTGTACGCATTGGGCTCGATTGGCGGTCACAACGTTGCCATTGTGTGCCTGCCCGCCGGCCGGATCGGCAATAATCCAGCGGCCGCAGTGGCGACGCAGATGCGAGCAACGTTCAAGAACATGTGGTTTGGGCTGATGGTAGGTATTGGCGGCGGCGTCCCGAGCGCTGGGGCAGATGTCCGGCTAGGGGACGTGGTGGTCAGCCAGCCTCGCGACACGTTTGCCGGGGTGGTACAGTACGATATAGGCAAGACGACACCAAGCGGCTTCAAGCGCACAGGATCACTAAACTCACCACCGCACGTTCTGCTTAGTGCGGTAGTTAAAGTGCGTGCAAAGGAGCTGCGAGGCAGGAGCCAGCTTTCTCGGTATATCTCTAAGCTGGAGGGCATCGCTAAGTTCCAACGCGCTGATGCAGGGCCCGATCTTCTATTCAAGGCAGCCTACAACCACGAGCGCGGTGACACGTGCGACCAGTGTAGCGTCGAGGGTCGACAGCCGCGACCAGAACGCAAGAGCGGAACAGAGGTGATGGTACACTACGGCACGATCGCTTCTGGCAATCAGGTGATGAAGGATGCCGCCGAGAGAGACAGGGTCAGCGCGGAGCTTGGTGGGGTATCATGCTTTGAGATGGAGGCGGCAGGGCTGATGAACAGCTTCCCGTGCCTTGTCATTCGTGGCATATCCGACTACGCCGACTCACACAAGAACGACAAGTGGCAGCCTTACGCAGCAGGGACGGCAGCGGCGTATGCAAAAGAGCTGTTATCGGTGATACCAGCAGCAGAGGTGATGAACACACGCCGTGCGGAGGATGCCATAAGCAGCGGCGGGAACAGTTAGTTCATTGACCGTATCCCTACTAATAATGCATGTAAATTAATGTGTTAATAGAACGTTGCCGTCAGTCATCACCTTCTGATCATACTTCGTATAAGCGCATAAAGCCTGTTGTCTCTAAAGGCTTAGAGAGTAGTTCTGCAGAGTGAGTCCCTCATATCCCTAAGCAATACTCCGTCAGTAGACTTCTGCTAAACTAAACAGACAGTGGAATGCCACGCGTACGTAGCTCAATCGTCTCCAAATGCGGACACGGCCTATTCTTACTATACTAGTTCCTACCCACTCGCAGGAACCCTTGCGAACACCGTTGAACGATGAACAAAGGCAGAGTCTATTGAATTCTCTAAGATTTGAGCAGATCGATGCGCGTCAGATGACTATCAAGACCGCTCACACCAAGACGTGCAGATGGCTCTTGAAGAGTGAGCAGTACCTCAAATGGCTTGATATCACCAAGCTGGATGAACACCATGGCTTCTTGTGGATCAAGGGCAAGGCCGGAACAGGCAAGTCGACGCTGATGAAGTATGCGTTGGCTCATGCTCGCAAGACAATGAAGGACCACATTGTGCTCTCCTTCTTCTTTAACGCGCGCGGCGAGGATATAGAGAAGTCTACAATCGGGACATATCGTTCTATGTTGCTGCAGCTTCTTGAGCATCTCCCAGCGCTTCAGGGTGTTTTTAATTCACTTAGCCTATCGGCCTCAAAGCTCACCGCAGACTACCAGTGGAATATTGAGACACTAAAGACACTGCTGGAGCAAGCTATACGGAGCTTAGGAGAATCGTCTGTCGTATGCTTTATCGATGCGCTTGACGAGTGTGAAGAAAAGCAGGTTCGGGACATGATCCAGTTCTTTGAGCACGTTGGCGATCTATGCATGTCAAACCGCATCCACTTCCAGGTGTGCTTCTCGAGCAGGCACTACCCGCATATTACAATCCGGAACGGGCTGGAGCTAGTGCTAGAGGGGCACGAAGGGCACTCACAAGATATTACTAACTACGTCGAGACCGAGCTAAAAATTGGGAAGAGCAAGATTGCACAGCAAGTCCGAGCCGAGCTTCAGGAGAAAGCGTCGGGAATTTTTATGTGGGTTGTTCTTGTAGTTGGCATCTTAAACAAAGAGTTCGACGATGGGCAGGTATACGCACTTCGACAAAAATTAAAGGCGATACCTAGGGACTTGCACGAGCTGTTCCGCGACATCCTAACGCGAGACTCGCACAACAAGGATAGGTTGGTGCTTTGTATCCAGTGGGTGCTCTTTGCAAAGCAGCCGCTTAGCCTAGAGCAGCTTTATCACGCTCTTCTCCTAAGCATCGATCCTGGCGCTATCTTAGAATGGGACCCTGAGGAGATTACAAAGGACGATATCAAGCGGTTCCTCCTTAAGTCTTCCAAAGGCCTCGCTGAGGCTACTGTTTCTAAAGAGCCGAGGGTTCAGTTCATCCACGAGTCAGTAAGGGACTTTTTACTTAAAGAGAACGGTCTTAGCAAGATCTGGCCAGAGTACAGTAACAACTTTCAGAGTCAAAGTCACGAACGACTAAAGCAGTGCTGCTTTGACTATATCAGTATCGACGTTGCTACGCCCTTACAGATTCCCGATGAGCTTCCAAAAGCCTCCTCGCAACAGGCAGCCAACCTACGCAAGTCAGCAACCCAAGTGTTTCCTTTTCTAGAATATGCCACACGCAATATGCTGTATCACGCGGACGCAGCAGAAGGCGGAGGCATCTCTCAGGCGAAATTCCTTGACAGATTCCTTGACAGCTTCCCGCTTTCTCGATGGGTCAAGCTCGACAACTTGTTGGAGAAGCATGAAGTGCGTAGACACACGGAACGCGTCAGTCCGTTGTATTTGCTGGCCGAGCTCAACGCGGCAAATCTTATCGGAGTCCTCAATTCAGCCAGCCACTGCATGGACGTTGAGGCGGAGCGCTACGGCTGCCCTCTTTTCGCCGCAGCTGCTACAAACAGCGAAAATGCTCTCAAAGTGTTTCTAAAGTATATTGAGCTGCAACAAGCTAACCGCAGCTTCGTTACAGCAGTAGTTGAACAGCAGTCTCAGCGCAAGTCGGCTCAGCGCGCTGCAAGACGTGACTTTGTGTACTCGAAAGCAAAAGATTTCCTCCTAAGTGCGGCAGAGCTTGGGCATGACGAGGTTCTTGCGCTTTTTATCAAATCGGAAAGATTCAAGATTGATACGAGAGATTCGAGAGGTAGGACAGTACTATGGTGGGCTTCCAGAAATGGCTGTGAGGCGTCAGCGAGGCTGTTGCTCGCTGCAGACTCTGTCATGGTCAACAGCAAGGATAAGGATGGCAAGACCCCACTACTTGTAGCAGTTGAGCAAGGGAATTACGAGGTGATTGAAATGCTGCTAGACAAGGGCGCCAACGTCAACGCACAGGGTGGACAGTACGGCAACACACTCCAGGCGGCTTTAGCTCGTAACCACGAAGAGATCGCGATGCTGCTACTAGACAAGGGCGCTGACGTTAACGCAAAGGGTGGTGGACGGTATAGTAACGCACTCCAGGCGGCTTCAGCTTATGGCTATAAAGAGATCGTAATGCTGCTACTAGACAAGGGCGCTGACGTTAACGCAAAGGGTGGTGGACGGTATAGTAACGCACTCCAAGCAGCTTCAGCTTGTGGCCACAAAGAGATCGCGATACTACTACTAGACAAGGGCGCCAACGTCAACACACAGGGTGGACTATATAGTAACGCAGTCCAGGCGGCTTCAGCTTGTGGCCACAAGGAGATCGCGATGCTGCTGCTAGAAAAGGGCGCATGAAGAATGTCGAAGTAGCTTCATTGTTGTTGGTTGTAGGGATAAAATATGTCAATAAATCGTCCATATGTCGTACGCATTGCCGTCAAGCTAATGTGTAGCATAATATTTGATCCCCACAAACCCTTTCCCTTGGAGGAGTGGGACAGTCAGAATGATCAATGTCACGTGTAAAACTCCAGAGATTAGAGAGATTTCTTTGTGGCTGTGGCTTAGGGTGCTTTTGCAAAGCTGAGCTGTGCCTGCGCTAAGCTTCATCTACTATGTATATCAAAGCCAGAAGCCTATCATGCAAGCGAGTGTATCAAATTCACATCTATTTTTTTCCCAAGCAACATTGCCAAAGCGCGCAATCCCTCTCTCTCTACTTCTCAAACTGCGCCGCCCCCAACGTCCCCTTCAAATCCATCTTCAACAGTCCCTCCCTCTCAATCTCCTCCCTCCTCTTGACCAACTCGTCGACATCCCAATTCGCGCTCACAAACCTTCCCTCGAGAAACTTCCTATCCACGCCTTGCCATGCCGCGAGCCAAACCCCCACCCCGCCCACGAGCTCCGGTGTATCGAGCGCAAACCGCTTAAACGAGTCAATCGTCATTTCTGTATCCACGACGCCTGGGTGCAAAGCTACAGTAAAGACGTTCGGGTTCTCGGCTGCAACGTACGTCATGAGTTCGAGGACGGTGAGTTTGGAGATGCCGTAGGCGCTGAGAGCGGGGAAGACTTCGTATGCGGCGCCGGTGGTCAGGGTGATTATTTTCGCGGGGGTGTCGGCAGAGGGGAGGCTTTTGAGGAAAGATTGGGTCATTAGGAATGTGCCGCGGGTATTCAGGGTCTGTTTAAAGGAAAAAGAACACATTAGAGAACAAAAAAGGGAAGTGCAACGTGATTGGGGTGATGAGGAGAGAGACATACCATTTCGTCCCACCAGGCTACTTGATCGACGTCTTTGACGGGCCCAATGGCTTTGAAGAGACCGGCATTGTTAACGAGGACGTCGGCATGACCGTATTTTTCTTTGACCTTTTCGTAGAGTGCTGCGACGGATTTGGGGTCCGCGATGTCGGTAGAGACGGACAGGGTTTCAACATCGGGGTAAGATGTAGCGATTGATTTTGCGACTTCTTCAAGTTTGTCTGCACGTCGAGCTACGATGACAATTGCTTTGGCGCCTGCGGCAGCGAATGATGGTACAAAGGACTGACCGGTCAGTTACAAGCATAGAGTGGAACTGCAAATCAGGCTGCACATACTCGAGCTCCTAGGCCTTGGCTAGCGCCAGTGATGATAATCACTTTGCCCTGTTGAGAAAGCGAACTTTGCTTAGGATCGATCGCTGGATAAACATCCCGATGAACGACCGGAACAAATTGCTGGGCCTTGACGAAATGGTCTACAGGAAGGTTCTCCATTGTTGCTGTCGTGATTTTTGTTGCTGAATCAATGATAAAGTGGTCAAGCAGAGAGGTGGTAGGAACTGAGAATAGATGTGGCTGGATAGTCACGATGCCATCACATCATGACCTCTTATATGTACCTTGTTCCTCCCTCAATGTTGTACATTATTAATTCCGTCGCTGTAGTCTCCGCTGGTGCAATCATTGGTAATCGTTACTGAGCTCATCCGCCGCAGTGTAGAGACCGATTATACAGTCGGTACTAAGGGGCAAAGATCGCGACAAAAGCTTTGAAATACAACTGGTAGCGCTCGATATAGTCCATTTCAAGACAATGCGGCTGGAAATGCGGTTACCAATCGGTGCAAAGCGCGGCTGCAAGTGCAGGGATGTCCTTGTTCCTAATCTAGTACTAGTAATGCTCCTCCTCCACATCAGCCGCAAAAGCTTCTAAAATGCCCGTCGGAACGCTATCAGATCGTGCATTGTTTGACCGGTGGTGATTTACAATCTGCATGACTTCTTCTCGAATTAGGTCATCGGTGCCTGCAAATATTTTCTCTACCCACAAAACACCTTTGACAATGTTCATCAGCCCGTCCCACTCTTGCAGCTGCATGCCACTCATCAAGATGCCGAGCATCAAGACGAATTGGCTTCTCTCGGCCAAATCCTTTGTCTCGATGGCGGCAAAGTAAATGGCCCAGATGAGAAATGGTTTAAGTTCACTCCATTCAATCATGTTTTCAAAGAGGACAAGCAATAAATTGCGGGATATAGCGGAGGTTCTGACCGGTGATTGGCCGAGTGCTCTCCAAAACGGCGATAGGAAAAGCAGTGTTCCGAGCCGACAAACTTCTTCCATGACGTGTTCTCGGCTGTTGCCTTTGTGCAGGGGCCGGATAGACAGTAGGCGGTAGATGGTCGGCTCCATCCAGCTACCACTTGTGATTGCGAGCATAAGCTGTTTCTCGTTGAACATGCGATCAAGCCATATCAACTGAACTACATCGTCGAATATTGTGATCCAGTCTAGTTGCATGGGCAGCTGCTGTTTCCATGACAAAGACACGGCATTGGCAGGCCGTGGAGAGTTTGGCGGCGACTTGGAATCTGTAAGCCATTGTGATGGCATAGGAACAGCGGGACTACGGTCTTGAAAGAAGCTTCCTAGCAGGTCTCCCCTGGTCTTGGCTTTAGCGTGTTGTTGTTAAATTAGGGTTTGCTCCGGTGGCTTACCAGCTTACTGTAACCCGCAAGAAATCTGTTGTGATGGAATCATAACCCCCTCTAAGCTGCACTATTCTTGCTAATGCATCAGCATGCTTCTGCCAGCCATCATTCGGAAAATTCCCCAGCAAAGCCTGATTCCTGTCAGTTGTGTGCTAGGATTCGTCTGCACAAGCTGCTTACTTGATGAATCATAAAGGAAACCATAGAACCTATCAATTCATCGCTCTGATGCATCTTTGGGTCCTTCATCATCTCAGTGGTGTGGCGCAGAGCCTTGTGATGATGTCTTAGCGCAACAGCATCGTCTTGAGAAGGAAAATATCCATGACGCTTTTCGAACAGGAAGTTTTGAGAGTTGGCAAGCATGTTGTAGAAAGCAGGGATATAACTGAGTCCAACAGGATACCAAGAACCTCGCAGAACAGTAGGGTGGTTGTTATCCTCGGTGGTAAGAACTGCTCACTATCAGAAAGGAGACGCGGTAATTTCGGAACACACCCACCATTAGCCAGCAGAGCCCGTTCAGAATCATCAAGTTCGACAGGATAAGGGCCAAAAGGATCGAGTTGGCCGCCACCGAAGCGATCGACATGCGTGTGGCTCTGCTCAGATGGTTTGCGGAACTCGAGGACGATCTCATGACGTGCTCGTTTCGTCTTTGGCTTTCTCCTCGCCTTGCCCACCTCGGTCATGGCCAGACGGCGGATCCGGAGCTGCGTCTCCTCATTTTTGAGGTCATCAGGGTGTTGAAGATTCACAAAGTTGAAGCTCGGTTTAGTAGAGCGATCCATGGCGGTGAACAAAGCTCGCTGGGTATGTTTCGTCATCGACCGCAACAGAGCTCTGTCCTTATCTTTATATGTACTCTGGGCACACCTGAGCGGGCGCCAAAAAGGGCATTATGTCATCGCTGTTTGAAATCGAGGGCTGTGGAAAAGACGATTCCTATGTGGAACGGCAGCCGAGTTTGGGGGCGGCGGAATACCGACAGCGTGGAGCTGCGGCCAACTTGGCGAGGCAACGCCATTTTACAGGTAGGTACAAGCGAACAGGCCCTGTGAATACAAGCAAGATGGTGGCAACGGACGAGTATCACACAGATGTCCATCTCGGACAGATGGATGGGAGTCACGATTCGGAGAGATAGTTAATGCGCATCCGGGGAGGATGTGCTAGTTAGTAATGTAGTTTGTTGGCCAAAGTGAGTGAGTAATCACAGTACAGTGATTTAGGAAGGCGAATCACTTTGTGCATAAGACGCCAACTCGGCACAATCGTGTATAGAGTAAGCTATCTGTATCTGGTGTGACCTCTGGAGGCTCTTTACCATAGGCTCTGCATATACTGTATGCACACTGCGATTGTGAGCTGTGTCGATGGGTCAGGACGAATGCCGGAGCTGCCGAAGCCTGCCCTCAGCTCGGCATGATTGTAGCGGGTTCTGGTTGATATGGTCAGCTGTCTTTGATGTTTAAGGAAAATGCACAGAAACCCATCCAGCTGCTGCAATCGACGACTACTAGCACCGCGCAACAGGCAAAGATAGGCGAAAACTGGCGGTCCCTTGCACTCGGCCCAAATCGCGTGCAGAAGTATCCCGGGCCTCTAGCGATCCCCATGCCGCTTTGGGTTAGCGCGCCAAGGACCATGCCCATAACATGGCAAATTTGTCGCCAGCCCTTTCTGTTCTCTTCAACGCACCATCAGACAGTTCAGCCACCCATCTCACCAGCGTCTTTACGTCTTGTAATCGATGCGACCCGAGTCAATCAATTGGGCGGCTGCGATATAGCGCTGCGGAGAAGGAACACAGGTGCTCCATTAGAGCTGGCTGCGCATTTTCAGGTTGCGCAGGCGGTGTCATAGGAGCCGTACATACTACTTCACTTTGCCCATGTCATTTCTCGAGTCCTCAAGCCATCATCATGCGGCAAGAAAGGCGCCGCAAAGTTGATCTGAACGACACTTCATCGTTTGAAAGTATTGCAAAACACGAGTGTTCATGTCTTGTACTTGTGTATGTACAGGCATGACATATCAGAGCTAGTGCTGCACTCGTAACTCGGCCAAGTAATAAGATGCAAAACCATGGGCTATATTACTGGCATCGCTAAAGGCTACGCTATTTGGCAAAGACGTGCTGTAAGCAACATGACCAGAGAAGCAACAGCGAGACAGCTTCATCATGCTAGATCCACCTCTCGTCCTCTCTTCTTCAAAATAACCTGTATGCAATCCACCTTGGCCATACCATCCTTGCCTTTCATCTCTTGTTCCATATCCTTGGCCTCCCACACATGCTCGATATCCCGCATGACTCTTCGCAGGCTCGGGAAGCGCTTGACTGCATACATTTCCTCAAACCGATCCCGCACAAACTGTCGCTGTGTGCTGTCGATTGCCTCACATCCTGCAGTAAAGAGCGGCCATATGTGTGAGGTGGTTAGCGGCGAGCGAACATTGACTTGCTGCAAGTATGCTAGGCATTGATTAATGTGATCCATGCTGATGGGATTCGGGGCGCCGATATCAAGCCAGGTCCGGTAGAGGTAGATGAAAGCGGCGTGGCGGTATGCTTCAGCTGTCAGCTTGATGTCTGCGCTTCCCTGAACATTTTCATGCTTGCAAAAGCTCAGATCCATACCCAGTAACTTCTGCTGGATATGCCTGCCGGTTGTGTTTTCGTTTTCCGATAGAGCTGGACTTGTTGGCGACCGTGACCTCCTCGTCTTGATGGTATGTTGCAATTGACTAATCTGGCCAACTACCAAAAGCACGTTCGCAATGCTTGCTAGGCTCTCCTCCCCTTCGATAGCCGAAAAATCGGTCTCGTGGTCCAGCAAGGGGTTTGATCCTCTGGAAACGGATGATAAGATATCGTGGTATGCGAAGATGCTCATTAAAAATCGCGCACGCGAGCTATCCAGCCAATTCTCTCCTTGGCTCCTAACAATCATCGCCTTTGCACCAATCAGATGATTGGCAACGCATTCTTCATCGTCTTCGCCGAAAAGTCGCGCAGATACCTGCATCATCATAACAGTCGCCAGCGCTGGCTCAGCATTCATTTCCGATGGGTCCTGGATCATGCGTTGGAGTTCACGTATAGCGTCTCGTTGATGGCGGTACCTCTGGAAATACAGAAACGGGTCTTTTGAAGATGTTGCAAGATGGTTCGCGGCCATGGAGAGGATCGTGGATCTGAGCGCAGCAGATTCGCATGCCATAGCCGTCAGGTGTCGCTGAAAGGGAGTAGAAATACCCATATTGGGAGCCACTGATATGAGGGCGGAAAGTCGATCTACCCAGTAATCGAGAAGCCATCTATCGTCTGGCGATAGACCGTATGACAGTCTGGGGCTGTTGAGTGGTAATAAAGGCAAGCTTTTCGTCGATCCCGGCGACGAGAGTATGTTTTCAGGGGTAGAGACGATCAAAGGCATTGAAGAAAAGCTGTTGACTGAAGCTGGGCTCAAGGCAAAATCTTGCTCAAGAGATTTCTTCTTCCGACTCTTTCGCGATTTTGTTAGAGTGCTGACAGCACCCTCCTGCCACTTCAACCTGACCCCGTAACCTTTGCATGTAATCTTCAGTCTCATACAGCGGCCGCAAAATGGCTTCTGCTCGTCGCATTTGTACCCGGCCTCCCTGCACGTCCAGCATCCGGTCCGGGTTCTCTTATGTGTTGCCATGTTATTGAATGGTACATATTCGCTTCGTCGCTACATTTTCTTATCCTCGTCTGTGAACACACAACTTATAGCATGTTCTTGAGCTTCCGAAGAGCTGTGCTGATGTTCAATGATTGGGTAGCAGATGTGGGAGTTGGACCAATCTGGAAGGTTGCGCAAGAGAGGAGGTGGAGAGTGGCAAACCACACTAATGCTAGCTCCCGCTCGATCCTTGAGGCCGAGGCCCAAGACAGAGTCATACGTAGATGGGCGATATTTATACTGTCCATACTATGTAACCGTGTTCTTCTTGCCATCTTATATCGCATCCTACAATAAAACATTTCGTCGTTGCCAAGCATCGAGAAGGAAATACCGGCAACAGTGTCAAATCCCGTACAACTACAACCTCGCGGTATCCTTCCACACCAATCCACCCTGTTCCTCAACGTAGTGCCTTCCCTTGGTCCATCCCATCCACGTGCTCAGTGTATCTTCTCCCCCACTGCCTGGCTTCAGCCCCTTCTCACTCCATCCACTGCCCTTCCAGCCGATACCCTGACCCTCGGCCGCAGACCTTTCATCGTCGCCTTCATGAATCGCATAACCAGGCGAAGTCTTTAACGTGACAGCAGGTCGCTGATCGAATCCCTGTTCCTCCAACTCTGCTTGGGTCAAGACAGGCGTGCAACACGCGTCTGTACCATCGAATATAGCCTCCCACTCGGCACGCGTCTTCTTCTTGAACTCTGCCGTGAAAAAGTCCTTCAACTTGGGCCAATCCGCCATGTTATCCCTACTTCCAGGTAGATCCGACGCTTTAAGCTCCATGCCCTTTAACAGCGCAGCATAGAACTGCGGTTCAATCGCTCCAACAGCCATGTAGCCTCCATCCTTGGTCTCATAAGTATCGTAGAAAGGCGCACCACCATCCAGCATATTGGTACCACGCTCGTGTTTCCAGACCTCGGTCTTTAAGCCTAGTCGAGGCATAGTCGCAAGTATAGCGCTTCCATCCACCATGTTCGCTTCCACAACCTGTCCGAAGCCACTGCGCTCACGCGCAAGAAGCGCAAGCAGTATGCCAACAAAACACATTGCGCCTCCTCCGGCGAAATCGCCAACCACATTGCCCGGCGGATACGGTTTCTCGCCTTTTCGCCCAAACATGCTCAGCACTCCTGACACAGCAATATAGTTAATATCGTGGCCCGCCATTTGTGCGTACTTTCCGTCCCTCCTGAAGCCCGTCATACGCGCAATGATGAGCCGCTTATTCAGTTTCAACAACACCTTTTCCGGGTCCAGGCCTGCTTTTTCAAGCACACCGGGACGAAAGGGATCAATAAGGATATCGATTTGTGGTATGATTTTCTTAATGAGTGCGAGCCCGGCGGGCGACTTGAGGTTGACGCATATCGACGTCTTGCGACGCGTGAGCTGGTCAGTGGTCGGGGTACCGGGTGCGCGGTCGAGACGGAGGACAGATGCGCCGTAATCAGCCAGGAGCATGCCAGCAAAAGGCCCTGTATGAGATGAACTCCAAGTACGTACATAATTGCAGAGTAGAGAATATCGGGCTTACCAGGGGCCAGGCCCGCGAACTCGAGAACGCGTATGTTGGAGAGTGGAGGCGGTTGGGGCGCAGTCATGGTGAATTAGTTAAGAAAGTCACTCTGCTACTAGCGTTTGATATGCTTTGAGTGGTTATCCGGAATCAAGCGCAAAAATATATCGGGTTCGTACATGCTCGACGTCGACATTGTTGATAGGATGCGCCGGTTAACCACTCCCGCGGGGAAGATGCCGAGGTGCAGCTGTGGAGTGCTCGAGCTGGGGTAACAGTAGTTAGCGCCATTCCGCTTCGTAGCATGTAGCCGACTTGTCTTCCTTCCTACCAATACCTCCATCTTACCCTCATACATCTTTTCCGTGAATACGTCAGGACAATGAAAACTAGAGTCACAAATCAAGCTTGGGAGACTGTACAAAACGAGCTCTCCCCATGATCTCATCTTACTGGTGCCTTCTCAGGCATCATCATGGAGTGTTCACTTCGCAACGTCCCCGTGGACCCAGTATCAGCTATGACACACTGAATGAATTCATTCAACACAATGAAGAGGGACACAATAGGAAGTCATAACTCAATCACGCGCCTATGCTTTCCTTCACTCATGACCTCCCTGACCTAGCTCAACAGCAAACGTCTCCGTCAGTTCTCGCTCTAACCAATATAAATGGTTTCCTTATCCTCTCTTGCCTTCTCAAATTCACCCCCTTTCTTCTCAAAAAACTCAAAGACACTCACATGTCGGTCAATTCCCCGCCCATTTACACTATCGACCTCGCCCTGCCACCACGCTTACGCTACAAAGCCGTTACAAGAGACTATGCCCCTGTCCTGCACCAGATAACTAGCCTCTATACCGAAGTAGTCGCACACCTCAAGTTGCCTCCTTTTTTCTTCCATTTCCTCGGCCGCTTACTGCTTCGCCGCCTCGCCAGCAACGAGCAAACCGAGGAGTTACGCGGAATCAGCGAAGAATGCGGCGTACCCATGTACCTTCTTGTCGCCTACAATGTTTTTCTCGACTTGCTTCTAGGCTGTATGAGTGGCGGTGCGCTAGTCAAGAAGCCTAAGCAATTAGATCGAGAAGAAGGGGAAGAGGGCGACGAAGAAGTGACAATGATGCACTTCCGCATACTAGACTGGTCCATGCCTCTACTCCGAGACTTCATTGTGCAATTCAACTATATCAATTCACCGCAGGGAGAAGCCATAGCGCGGACAGTAGGCTATGTAGGTTTCGTCGGCGTCCTAACAGGCGTACGCAAAGGCCTCAGCGTATCTCTCAACTTTCGTCCTTACCACAATGCATCAGGCCTATCCTTTGAGAACGCACGATACTATTGGAACACACTGCTCGTCCTTCTAGGCCGACGCCCAAGCATCACAACCGTAATCCGCGACTTCCTACTCCCCAGACCCACAGAAACACCGCAAGTCCGCCGAAAACTCTCCAAAAAAAGAGGAAGAAACGGCCGAAAAGAACACAGCGAAGGTAAGGGAAAAGAGGGATTAGTACCAGCCTATCACCCTCCACACCCCCCAGACGCAATAACCTCCTTCCTCCCCACCCTCCCCACTCCAGTCGCCTACCTAATCTTCTGCACCCCGCACGAAACCCTTGTCCTAGAAAAAGACTTTCAAACCGCAACCATACTCCGCTCCCCAACCTTCCTGGCCACAACAAATCACGACGTCGCCCTCGAACCCGCTTCTCCCTCTCAACCCCCCACTACCTCGCCTGTTCAACCCCACATCCACGCTTTCCTACAGACAAGTATTTTCCTGCGAGTAAGCGCCCAGGATATCCTGGACGACAGTGTCTACCGCAAAGAATGCTTGACGCTGGCGTGGCGGGCGTGGCGGCGGCGGCAACGACAGGAAGAGGAGCGTGCGGAGGAGCACTCGGAAATAGGGGTCCCGTTAAGTACGCTGGAGAGGTGGGTGGAGAGGTGGCCGGTGAGTAATGCGATGACGCATTTTGCATGCATTATGGACCCTGCGGCCGGCGTGTTTAGGTGGATCAGGAAGTTTGAGGCTGGTGAGATTGAGGAGCCGGTTGCAGTGGGGGAGGGAGAGTCCCAGCAAGATAGGGAGGAAGAAAGGAATGAAAATGTCTGATTTTTGTATTGTAAAGATGGAACAGTCTCCATATGTATGGGTCATGACTCACATATACGCATACATTTGCAAGAAAAGACACGGAAAAACATGAACGTTGCCATAAACCTACATTTCTATATTCCTACAACCATTTCCCCCCTCCCCCGCAATAAAAACAACAAACACACACACAAACACACATACCATCTCCACCTCATCTAAGCCCTCGCCTTCCTCGCCTTAGGCTTGGCAACCTTCTTACCCGCACTCCTCAACCTCTTCCTCTCCACATTCGCCTTAATCCTCAAACTCCTCTTCCGCCACGCCGTCCACCTATCTCCAGGCACAAACTCCTTAACCTGCACCCCCGCCCTCTCCGCCGCACGCCCAATCACCCAATTAGCCTCACGGTACGCATATCCCTTTCCAGCCCGCAGGCTCAGCTCTTTCTTGCCTGCTTCCCGCGGCACCACCTCGCTTTCCGCAGCAGCTGCAATAGCCGCTTCAGGTGCCGAGGAGGACGAGGATACAGGTACGGGCGTGAAGTTTAGCCGCCTTCTCCGCGCAGCGTTGGCCGGGTATGGTAGCGTGTGGTCTTTCTCGAGCGCAACACCAATGTATTGGCGTTTCGGGTGCAGTCGGGGATCCCGGTAGTACCGTACGTAACCAGATTCGGTGGCGAAGATGCAGTGGTCGCGGCCGAATTTGCAGTTTTCGCCGGGGAACCACGAGGTGCCGCGTTGGCGGAAGATGATGTTGCCGGGGATCACATATTCGCCTGTTTTTTGTCTTGTTTAGCAAAGCGTTCGGGTCTTTGTTTAGTTGCGATTGTGTTTGGGTGAAGATATTTTGGAGGGAGTCAGGACGTACCTCCGCTCTTTTTTGCGCCCAGTCGTTTTCCAGGTCCATCTTTTGCGCCGTTGGCTCGACCTTGGGCTTGATGTGCGGAGTGTCGTACAAAAGAGAGGACTGGGGCTGGTGCTGTGGAGCCATTGGCTACGCGGAGGGCATCGAGGACACGGGTCGAAGGTGCTATGAAGGCCGTAGATGTCGCTATCGATGCGCGGACGGGCGCGAATATCCGTGGGAGCAGCATGGCCGCTCTGTTGCTGGAGAGGGCGGGCATTCGAGGTTGCAACTGCGACTTTTCGAGATATCCGCGTGGTCCGTGCGCCAACTCCGCAAGTCTCTGGTAAATGTACAATCTCAAGCCCTTACAATTGTCTCGCTGCTACTACTTTTCCAGACTCAATTGGTTGCCATAATAAGTCACTCATGAACAACAGCGCATCGCCATATCAATCATGTCTGTTTCCTAACGTAAAGCATACAATACCGAACCGTCGTTTCAATTAATTCATGCCAATGTAGCGTACACATCTCATCCATCACCTGTGAAATGGGCCCTCGTAACAAAAATCTAGTATGCCAGCACCCAAAACACCTTGCAGAGAATGCCGACCCATAGAACATAAGCGTTTAGCACCATTACCCGCTACCCAGACATTTACTGTACTTGGTTGACAATCTCTTGCGCCTTGGTCAGACTCTCCACCATCTGCAAGCAGTCCTTCCTCCTCTTGACAGTGTACTCGGATTCCTTCAGCAACTCGTCCAGCTCGTCCGTCTTGTACATGTTGGTGAGGAGCTCGCCTTGCATGTTCTCCTTGGTCCACTGTACGAGGTTCAACATGATAGCCTTGGGTACCATGTCAATCATTGTCCGGCGGACGATGTTGAAGTAGGATGTGATCAGCAGTTCTGCAAATGGTTAGCAAGTCGACATAGAAAAACACATTAGTCATGACTTACTAATAACCTCAACCTCCTGAGATTCCTTCTCCGAGAGAGTACCGGAGGCCTTGAGCGTAGGTGGCGGAGGCTCCATGGCGGCCATCTTCTTCTTGTTCTTGCTAGCAAAGAATGAGCCGAAGAAGCCACCTTCTCCGGAGTCAAGTGTAGGGGATATGGATCGCGGCGGTACGGTAGGCGGCAATGGCTTTCCAGTCTTGGGATCAACTTGTTGGGGCTTGTTGCTGTTGTGTCGTTCGTGCACAATAGCCATGGCACGCGAACCGTTGATGAAGTCTGGATGGCCGGTGTTGATGTAAACCGACTCCATAGCAACGAGGTCCTTGACAAGCTTGTTGGTCGGCTCCATTGCTTTCTTAAAGAAACTGACAACAACCTGGTGCAGCTTTTCCTTGAGCGCAGGATACCTTCGGAAGGCGTTCTTGTTGAGCAGCTGACCAAGGATGCGGATCAACTCATCGTAGACGAGACTGACACACTTCAAGCTGGGGTCTTCGAGTCGCTTGATCTGTTGCTTGACAATAAGCTCGAAAGCCGTAGTACCGACGAACAGCGCTGGGGATGAACCAGAAGAGTTGTACAGAACTGTTCGGATGTCCATGTCCTTGACCTGGTCAAAGGGATCGACAGCCTTAACACCGTTGGCGTACAGCTCGTGGTAAACGAACGAGATACGAGCACCACCAGACAGCTCGACTGCGGACAGTTCCTGGTTGTTTCCTTCGAGCACTCCACGGTATTCATTGGTAAACTCCGTGATCATGTTAAGAACAATATTGGAGCTGTTGCCCAGCATAGAGTTGCCAAGTGATGAAAGCTCGGCCTGATACTTTTGCAGCGAAGACGAGATGCGCGCTTTGATGTCGGGGAGAGTTTGCTTGATGTGCATCATGAGAATCTATTGTTGTTAGCTTACCATTGTGTATGTAAATGCGCAGTAACTTACCAAGTTTAGCTTGCGGGCCAGATAAGGTGTACCGCAGTAGGCCGCCTTGTTACGGTACGCCTTGTGGTTTTCAAAGTACTGCCTCTCGTGCTCGAGCGCATAGGAGATCGCCTTCTTATTCTCGATATCCCTCTGACCTCTATTCACAACAGGGACGTAACCCAGTCGCAGTGGGATAATGCGTCCGGCGAGAATATCCACAACGTCAGTTCCCTCGTCCATCAAGTCTACCTTGGTCAAAACACCAATTGTCCGCTGTCCTTCTGGGTCGACCTCGCGCGCGAGCTTCAGACCGTCCGAGTTGGCCAAATCGGTGTTGGCGGCGGTGACGGCGAGAATGATGGCATTGGGCTTGCTGATCTGCTTGAGAACCATCTCACGAATTTGTCGCTCGATATCCCTAGGTTGATCTCCAACAGGCACCTTGGTCAGACCCGGCAAGTCAACAAGCGTAAGTGTGAGGACGTTCGGCGAGTATATCCTCAGGTTGATGGGAGCTGGCGAAATTCCTGCATTGCGACCAGTCTTTTGCTCCGTCTCCCTTACAATCTCATCTCGTATCTTGCTAAAGTCATGGAACTTTTGGCCGGGAATGTGCAGAAACTCGCCCCATTCGTCAACGTTGTTCTCTTGGTCTGTGGTCTTTGCCCCCTCGCCGGTGCCGTTGGCTTGTGAGCTGGATGCGCGGTTGATGAGTTGGAGAATGAGCGGCCTTCGGGTGACGATACCGGTTCCTCGGGGCAAACTACAGGGCTGTCGTCAGCATGCCATCGCCAAAGCGGTGTCGCAAATTGCAAGCACTCACAAGTCTCGTCCGACAATGTTCTCAAGCACCGAACTCTTTCCGCTAGACTGCGATCCTACGACTGCGATTTGGGGCAGATCTATGGGGTTTTGGACCTGAGTCAGGCATTAGTCTACGTGTTGCGAAATGGAGTGCTGAGGTAGTAAGGGGGTGGTAACGTACTCCGACGGTGGTGAATACATCCTGGAGCTTGTTGACGAGTGTAATCAGCCCCGGATCGTTTACGTTGATACTGTTGGACTGTCAGTTCTCCTTATTGCGAGGGGCTGCCCAAAACATGTATGTGCCTACGCATTAGGGTTTGCCGCCATGGTCGGCGATTTGTGGATTGTGTTGTTCAGGCGTCTCTTATAGGCGCTTCAAGAAGGATGTATGCTTAGGATTTAAGCAGGAGGGTGGGTGTTGTGTAAAGTGTGCGAAACGGAGGTGTATGAGATCTGGGGGTTCTTGATTGCAGGTTGCGTAGCTACTACAGGTTGTAACGTTTGGGAGCCCGAGCTTCGATACGCTGAGTACGCCACACAGCTCAGCCACACAGCTCGGCTTGCAAGCCCCCAACAGAAGATACAGAGTGATACCAGCAGCTTCTAGCACGAACAATGGCAGTACGCCACGAGCCATATGTTTTTTCTGCCAATTAAACTTCTGCAACAGACACAGTTAACACACTACCTTGGGTTTGCGAAGGGCTTGCGATAACCAGTCCTTTTTGCGACACACGTCACCGGTCATATGACTGATATCAAGTGCCCTCGACCGCCTTGGTGACAACGCACCCACACGTCCACCCTTCACCCGGGTGGCAAATATCCCTTCACTACCAGGTGATAGGCAGCGCCATCACAGGACGCGAAGCAGCGTCGTCATCAGATCAGGCACCCGTCCCGTCTTCCCCAACCCAAAACCAAGGACGGCTGCCTAATAGAAACTATAGTAGTACGGCTTTCTGTCCCGACTTTACAAAAGAGGATAGGTTTGACTTGATACATAGATAATGTACGTATCTGACTTGGTGACATACGGTGCAGTCAATACGCGTGTTAGAAATCTTTCATATCATCTCATTTTCACACCACATCAGTCTAGTGTACACATCTCAACGAACATAGAATGTGTATTGTACTCAGTTGCCGCGATTATCAACCAACAAAAAGACTGTCGCATCTAGCCACATACATCTATTCGTCAACCACAGATGCAAACTTCTCAGTCATCTTCTGTAGCAGCTGCTCGTACTTCTTCGTGACCGCCTCCTCACCGTCGCTGGGCAGCTCAAACTTCATCGAGCGAAGCTGCGATTGAATGTCTGAAGTAGCGTCTCGGATCTTGGGCCATGAATGTCCTTGAGAAACTGCCTTCTGCGCTTCGTCGTGGAAAGCCATCATGTTCTTCATCATCCACTCTGTCTTCCATAGTGGGCAGAACTGGTCGTAGTCCGAGTATCCGTTTTGCTGCAAGAAGTCCTCCTTGAGTAGTGTAGCCACATCGAGCGTGATCTTGTCGCTGTCACCGAGCGCCGACTTACCCACAAGCTGCACGACTTGGTCGAGATCGTCGGATGTCGTCAGAAGCTCCTTGATGCGGTCACGGAGCCGTGGGAAGTCGGGGTTGTTCTTCGCATAGAATTTGTCCAGAGGTGTGGTGTACTTGCTGTAACTGATCGAAGTGTTGACTGATGGGAAATGCTTTCGCTGAGCCAGCTTCTTGTCCAAACCCCAAAAGACTTGCACAATGTTCAGTGTACTCGTAGTAACGGGATCAGAGAAATCGCCTCCTGGCGGGCTGACGGCACCGACGATTGAAACACTACCGTATCGCTCAGGGCTACCCAGAGCCTCAACGCGTCCAGCGCGCTCGTAGAAAGACGCAAGCTTAGCACCCAGGTAGGCAGGGAAACCTTGGTCAGCAGGCATCTCTCCCAGACGACCGGAAATTTCTCGAAGCGCCTCTGCCCATCGTGACGATGAGTCTGCCATCATTGCGACGTCTTTACCTTGATCGCGGAAATACTCGGCAACCGTAACTGTAACACCTTGTTAGTTGTATGGCCTTGGCATGTACAATAGACAGTGAATACTTACTACCAGTGTAAATGGAAGCTTCACGGGCAGCCACAGGCATGTTTGAAGTGTTGGCAATGAGGGTGGTACGCTTCATAATGGGCTCCTGCTTGCCGTCGACAGTGATGGTGAGCTCGGGGAAATCCATCAAGACTTCAGCCATCTCATTTCCGCGCTCACCACAACCAACGTATACAATGATGTCGCTGTTTGAGAACTTGGACAGAGACTGAGAAATGACAGTCTTGCCGCATCCGAAGGCACCAGGAATGCACACAGTACCACCCTGAACACTGGGGAACAGGGAGTCGAGCACACGCTGACCGACGATGAGCGGCTGGTCCGAGGACATCTTCTCGTTGGAGGGGCGGGGCACTCGGACGGGCCACTTGTGCATCATGCTGTACTCAGTCTTGGTGCCATTGAAGTCCAGCTCCAAAATCTTCTCATCAACCGTGTAGCTGCCCTTCTCGGCGATGCGAGTAATGGTGCCCTTTGCGCGGGGAGGCAGGAGGATCTTGTGCTCGCTGAGAAGACTGTTTTCGAAGACGGTACCAAAGACATCACCACCAGTGATGTGGTCGCCGACCTTGAGCGATCCCGGTGTGAAGTCCCACTTCTTCTTACGATCGAGAGCAGGCAGATCAATACCGCGGGGAATGTAGATGCTCTTTGCGTCGTCGGCAATGCCCTTGAGGGGACGCTGAATACCGTCGTAGATGGTCTCCATAAGACCAGGGCCGAGCTCGACAGATAGCGGCTGTCCGGTACGGTAGACGGGGTCGCCAACGGTCACACCAGCTGCGAAACATTAGCCAAGATTTCATACCAAGCTTCATATGTCGGTGGAGCGCATACCAGTCTCTTCGTAGACTTGAATTGTGGCCTTGTCGTTTTCGATTCGAATAACCTCACCCACAAGGTTGTCATAACCAACACGGACCTGCGACTGTCAACAATGATCCCACCAGATATGGGAGACGGCGCACATACAAGCTCGTACATGGCACATCCAATCATGTTCTCGGCGATGATGACGGGACTGAATGGGTCAGTATTGGTTCGGAGCACTTCCTGGTATAAACGCACCCGGAGATGGAGAAGATGGCGCCTGTCCGGAGTCAGCGGATTGTTTGTCGCAGCATTGCTGAAGCTTACCATGTTCCTGGCCGCCCTCCGACTTCTGGTCCTGCTTCTTCTGTGCCGTCTAGTCAGCTGCCTGTATAAGAGGTTAAATGTATCTAATCGCTTACGGGAGGCATCGTGTATATCTATATGTCCCACTCGCTGTCGTTGGCTTGTAGGTGGTATTGTTGCAGCCTCACGATGCGATGATGATTGCAGTAGTTGGAGGTTGAGCTTGGACCATGCGCTAACTCTTGGTGGGGACCTTCCTTGTCATCTGCCACCAGCCAACCGCGCTCCGTCACTGTCTCCGTATGTTCCCCTACCACTGCTCTTGCTAGGCATTTACAGCAACCTTCTTTTCTTTTTCAACGCGTGATCTCAATAGCAATTCCAATTGGGTTAGCTATGCATCAAACATTATTGAAGTTCTGAGACCTTCAGGGTGCACAACCATCTTCGCGGAGCTGTTCATCTACGTCATCGGCGAAACCACATTCAGAGCTGCTCCGGTAAGCTGCAGCTGATAATTACCAGTACACTGCATGCCGCCCACGTTTTCCCAGCCTTTTCCAGCATGAAATGTCATCCCGAAGACCGATTCATCTCAACCAAGGTGTCGTTCCGCTCGCGACGCTCCCTTTTCTCTGCTGCATCCGCAATGCTGGTGCGCAACATGTGCGTGCTTGTTAAAGCCCTAGAAGCCCTCCCATCCTCTGCCGCAGACAGGGGCTGCTCGGAAATGATATATGGCAGAAAGCGTGCAAGCAAAGGCTTCATCACGAGCAGCGATGCACAGATGATTGCAACGTTGATCTCGATGGACGAGAACACGATCGCAAAAGTGCCGCATCCTGCATTTGTTCAGGTTGATGTTAAATCTAAATGACCTGCAGTAACTTACTTGTAACTTGACCATTGACCATGGCATAGCGGACAAGAGCAAGTCGTAGAATTGTTATGATGCACACACTGTATTACATGTCAGTATCTAATCACTCGCTCAACCCCACCAATATACGCACAATCCGCCTAGTCCAAAGACGAATAACAGACCATTCTTTTGTCGTTTTGGAAGGCTAAGTCTGCCGATGACTGGAAGAGGCAGCATCCAGATTGCGACATCGACCACAATACCTATGATGCTGGTTGACCAAAAGTGCTGCTCCTTGTTCATGCAGACTCCAGGTACCGTGACATCCCAGTAACTTCGAATTGGGCGACAAAGGAAAACGTTACCGAACATGCCCCAGGCCGTAGCACTGGATACAAGTATGAGGAGAGCATAGCAACTCCACAGAACGTGTGGGATGAGCGAAAAGAGCCGAATGTACTGTAGTATGAGGGATGCTTTGACGAGATTGCTTGCGAGGTGGTAGAGGATAGCTTGGGCAAGGACAAGCTTCATGAAATCAGCCTAGTACATTCACACACCTAGGCGTCTTACTTTGAGCATAGCAGGTAGCGATGCGGGGTATGTGGCGCCTTCTACAGGATCTGCAATGTCGATACTAACCTCTATACCTCAGTTAGCTACCCCATCACACCTCATTCGACTCTAGTGACGCTTGCCTTGCCCAATGACTGCTGTGAAGCCCATCGACAGCAGCTATGATGGTTAGGCTTATTTTGTTGATAGCAACAGTCACACTTACCAGAGCAGCTGTGATGAAGTAGTCCTCTAATCCGATTCTATTTGTGTTCGAACAAGTTCGGCTGCACAACCGTAGAATGACCATTACAAAAGCGAGGGCGGTGAAGATGACTGTAGGGACGAGGGCGTCATAGCCGATGTCTGCGGTTGCTTTTGATCGGATAACAAACCAGCTTGGTGATTGGGCATGCGTCATGACGGGTTCAGGCGATGTAGATAATCTGGAGCTTATAGCAGCCATGAAGCATTTGCAGAGCGATAGGGTGGCTCCGGATGTGAGGGTGCACTGCAAGCCATTACAAGTCTATGCTCATGGCTGCATGTACATGTGGTCTAGGCTGATCTTTGTGCCTCGGGAGAGTATTGTGATAGTGGTTGACATGATGATGCAGAGCCATTGAGGCCAGCGCTTTATGATCTTGTTCTTGAAGCAAGTCAACAACCCCAACTCGGTATGCGGTGCTGAAATAAGTGACCATTTGGTATACACATATGTCTTTTTAAATCGAACCGTCTCTCCGAAGATTACATGGATTAGAAGAGGATGATAGAGTGCTGTTCCAGAATATAGCGAAGTGCATGCGCTGGTACACACGTGCCCATAGTATGGTTCAGAGCGGGGTCACCTATGGGCTAAGACCTTCCGGTCTGTACCTGTGTGTAGTCATACGACTTTCCTGCAATATATTTCTATTGAAGGCCAATGAAATTATGTAGAACAGTAATACTAAGTAAAAGATCCAGGCTTTATTCTCGAATCGTATTGAGGCAACTGCGTGTGGAGAGCATTGGAAGCCACTCGGAGAATACCTCTTAGCGACGCACCACCACATGCTACTTTTATGCACTAGTAGAGTGACGTACGAGGAAGGCACATGTGAGGACATCCTGCATAGTGTGCTTCTACCTGCAGTACCTCTAGACCAAAGGGCAAAATTTACCGACTCGAGCAAGCCGATTATTTGCCAGGTGTCTATATGCTAGCAACAGGATCATACGAGTTTCCTAATTGTTTCCGGTTTCGACAGGAGGCATTCGTTGGCAGAAACCATAACAAGCCCGGTATCATCTCTTGGGACGCAAGGGTGATTCGGCGACCACGAGACATGAAGCTGTCAGCGTGAACATGGGTGTTGCATAGAATTTGCCTTACTAGCGACGAGTATGAGCCAGACAACTCGGAATAGTGCGAATGCACTGCCGACGTGGCAGGTCAATGTGAGCACCGTCTGGGCAGAGACTGCGCATCCTAGCGAGGTGTTGCTGAGATGGTACCATCATAAAGAAGCCAAGCAGCCAAGGCGATACTGGACAGTTAAGAACTAGGATGCATGTTGGAGTGGGTGGGTGTGCGGCAGCTGCACCGGAATTTGTCACCATTCTAGGAAGCGGTGTAGTTGAAACGCATTAGTACGCCGGGCGCTTGGCCAAAGTTCCTCAATTAATACTGAATAGGCGAACAGCAGGTGTGGCGGAGGACAATCGCGCGATACCGCATATATATACTCACGTACTCTACATGCTGTACGCGTGTGCTTCTTTGGTCAGATGTGGAAGGTTGTGACGAGCCTCGCGGGCCACCTGAGGCTTGCGCAGTAGCCTCCTAGTAAAATAGCATCCGGGCTCACCGGGGTTGGGGCGCAAAGATCGTTACGATGTGATCTGATGGCGTAACATCAGCGTGCGTGGGGGACGCCAGATACGAGGGCGCTCACGAATGTGCGTCAAGGAGACAGGAGTCGAGTATAGATTAAGCTTTTTGCAGGTGTTCAAACGCATGTGTGGGATTTGAGAGCCACTGCAGTGGTGTTTGGACAAGGTAGGCTGAGCACGCTAGGCGCCGTTAGCGCCGATTGCGCATATGGCGATTTGGAATCAGACCGTACCGAGCGTATGGTAAGCGTGGGCATCTCTCGGGTACTCGATTGGGCCTTGTCCCGTAATCTAGTATTTGTCAAGTATGCAAATCCATTTCCCGACCTCACGGCCGCTGGGACACGCCTACTTACTGCCCCCGTGCCGTTGCATACTCATTGGCGGGTTGCTATCGCCCGACGCCTTGCATGCTTCTGCGGGTCCGCATAGGTCTATTTCCCCTAGGTCTGTGTAGGCTGTCATTTTGTTGGTCTTATTCGCCATGCGCGCATGTACTGTTCTTTTGCCACTTTAGTGGGAGTCTCAAACACGTAATTTGATGGGGCCGTTGCTCGGTAAGCCTGAATCGTCATTTCGGGACATGTTTCGGAGAACTTGGCCCGCACGTATTACGGAGTACTTCTCCCACATGCATGGATAAGAATTGTGCTGTGACAAATCGACAAGAGACGTATATCTGTCCATCGAGTGCCACTTTTTTGAGAGCATTAAATAGTGTCGTTGACCTTGAGATCCAAGTCTTGATACCGTCTCCATCCTTTCACAACACCAATGGCTCCAGTCTCTCTTCACCAGTCGTCACACCCGTTTCTGACGCCCACGCGCGCATCCGATATATCATCATGGACACTGTCGGTACCCGAACGAAGTTCGAGCTCGTCCACTGAGTCTGTTACCGACGCTCAGTCACGCCAAGCCGCCATTGAAGCCTATCGACAGATGAAAGCTGCCCTCTTCTCAAGGTCTCTCCATTCAAACCTCTCCCGGTCTAACTGAGAATCTGAGAATCTGAGAATCTTTCACGCTGCTGCGAAACTGCAATAGCACTGTTCTGGCACATTGTCGCATCACGATTTACGAAAAAACTCTCCACCAGGACGACCCGTTACGAACCAACGTCATCCTCAGAGTTGCTTATCACTAGAGTTTCGATTGGCTAAACTCTCAACAATACCCCGATGACCCGGTGTGGAGTTATAATTAGGGCGTTTATGGCTGCCTTTTAGGGTATTTGTGGAAATCAAGTGACTGAGCATTATGGCCGGTGCTTGGAGCATAGATACTATGTAATTAGATCAGATTTGGTTTTTTAGTCTTTGGGTTCCGGAGCAATGAAAAGCGAGGTGGCACCCCATAGCGTCTGGTACTATACTTTAGTTATCCCTTCATGTAGTTATCTTTGTCTCCCGCTCCACTCTGCCTAATTGCATCATTTCCGCACCCGCTGTCCGCTTATCGATAGTAGGGGAGGGTCCGTGCGCCAAAAGTTGATCCAACGCGACTTTGCGAAAACACGATCCAACGACCTTGACTGCAACCACACTCTAACTCTTCCACTCGCTTGCAATACCATAATTTACCCTAAAAAATGTCGGGAAACACACCCAAAACAATGTCTAAAGGACTCATGGGCATGAAGGTAAGTCGCTGCGTCTTCGCGTGCTCACGGCATATGCTAACCCATGTATAGTTCATGCAGCGTGCTGCAGCAAAGTCTTCACCTTCGTCGCCGGCTACTTCCAATGGACCTCCGGCCAAGAAGGCGCGTCTTTCACATGGCGCATCAGCCGTAGGAACCTCAGATCAAGAGATTATACAATCAGGACTCGACGCCGAAGAAGCAAAACGTCAGGCGGCGCTGGACAAGGCGGCGCAACACGCGGGTGAAACCAAGTGGGTACTGAGCTTTCAAGATCCTCTCAAGGGGAAGCGGCAAGATGCTATGCAGGTTAGGCATGCGGGGTATGCGGAAATCGATGCGCAAGACGATTCAGAGGAGGACGAAGAAGAAGACACCAGACCTGTGAGAATGCAGTTTGGTGGTGGTGTCAAAAAGGCAGACGTACGTATCGTCTGACACGGGTAGTTTCCCTGGGCTAACGGTATTGTAGACTTCGGTACCGATGGTAAAAGCAGATGACTCGGAATCTGACTCGGAGTCTTCATCGGACGATTACGACTCGGACGACGCTGCAGCAGATCTTATCCGACAGACGAAGCGCGAAATGGCTTCGGAAAAGCGAGAATCTAAGAAGAAAAGGGCAAGCATGGGCAACAGCACGCCAAACGGAACACCGACGCGACAGGGCGAGAACAGAAACCTCAATGGCCTGACATCTATTTCGGGCGGTCGGCGATCGGGAGGCGGCGGAGGCATTAGTGGAGGATCTGGTCGCATGAACAATGTGGATTGCTACAAATGTGGGGAGAAGGGGCATATAGCAGCAAATTGCTCCAACCCACCAGCCCCACGGGGATCTGCGGGCAGAGGGAACGGCAAAAGCCGGAGATAGGAAGGGCGCGCGCTGGCTTGACATTTATACGCCTTGTACGGTTCAATGATACCCCGTGGAGACTTGGTCTTCTTCGATCGCGAGTGCGATCAGCCAACCCTTTGTCCATTTTCCACCAGCATGTACTCGTCGCCAACCATCATCTTCATCTGGCTGTCGTCCATGAAGTTGTCGTGGTCGCCGTTCAACGCAGCGCCTTCCTTGTCGTACATGAACTTGGCTAGCGCGAGATAGTCGGGGAAGACAAAGGTGCAGATGGCGTCATAATCCAGCAACTTTGCGTTTCCCTGCATAATGTCCTGGATGACCTTTTGGTCGCGCTCAAGATGGTACGTCTGTTGCGGTCTCAGCCTGGGCAATGGCGCAAATGCCTTTGGGGCAGAGTGTATAGAAGCGAGGCGCCTACAAGGCTGTAGCTGATGATTCCATGGCGCTGGAGGATGGGCACGGCCCTCTGCGCATGCTTGTTGTTATAGTAATCGATGAAGTCTTCGTCCGACATGCCCTGCTTCTTTTTGATGTAGATTGTCGCCTTGACGACCTTTCGGAAGCCCTCTGTGTTTGGGTAGCCGGCCTGGAAGGATTTGGGCACCATGTTGGCGCCGAACGAGAATTCAAGGTGGACGGGTAATTGCAGCAGCGCCGATAATAGGTGCATGGCCCGTCTTATCGACAATCTACGGCCCACTTGATCTCATGTTGAATCCCTCCCGGGGACGACTCGGATCTCCGCATTGGGTTGTCTACTCTTGTCGCAAGATCCTCACTCCTCGCATCCGCCCGCTGTTTTCTTTTTAGTCTCCCTCACCGCCCATTGCCTGCCTTGGGCGCACTAGCTCTTCTGGGTTGCTTGCGAGGTTACTGTTACAGCGATTGGAGCAGTGCCGTGTTGACAACGCCCGTCCCCCTTCTCGCCTTCACAGCCACCGGCTGGCTTCACGGCAACTCTTGTGGATGCTCCGCTCTTTAGGCGCACGACAGTCTCTGGGAAATCTGTCGCTCGTACCACGACCCCAAACCATCCCATCTACACTGCCCGCTGCCACACTGGTCGCGCGGTACACAGTACTGTCAGCAAATTGCCCAGCGTTGATCTCGTCCGCCACTAGTCTCCGCCAGCCACGCCGCATATACAAGTCTCCCCTCCCACAGACTGCCATCGCCGCGTCACCTGCAACCCAGCGAAGCCTCACACACGCACCAAGAAAAAAGAATCAGTTAGCCAACATGGCTGGAGCGCTGGAACGGGAGGCTGTTCGACAGAGAATTGAGGATCTTGAGAGGCCGCAGCTCGACGACCGCTCCTACCGAATCGTTACTCTGCCAAACCAATTGGAAGTCCTTTTGATACACGAGGCGGAGACTGACAAGGCCAGTGCGGCGCTGGATGTCAATGTGGGCAGCTTCAGCGATGCGCCCGACATGCCAGGTATTGCGCATGCGGTAGAGCATCTGCTGTTCATGGGCACCGAGAAGTATCCAGAAGAGAATGCGTACAACCAGTACTTGACCCGCCACGGTGGCTATTCAAACGCCTTCACCGCCTCCACATCGACAAACTATTACTTCGAACTCTCCTACGCTGCCACCTCGCCCACGGCCAGTAAGGCTGCGACTCCAGAAGCCTCATCGACAAACCTGTTGGAGTCGGCAGATGAGTCACCGCTACGAGGCGCACTGGATCGTTTTGGCCAATTCTTCATTAGCCCGCTATTTCTCGAAGACACGGTGGATCGCGAGCTCAAGGCGGTGGATTCAGAAAATAAGAAAAACCTCCAAAACGACACTTGGCGCATGCATCAGCTCAACAAGGCGCTTGCCAATCCTAATCACCCCTACAACCACTTCTCCACAGGTAGTTACAAAACCCTACATGACGACCCCATAGCACGTGGCGTTAAAATTCGTGATGAGTTTATCAAGTTCCATTCAACGCACTACTCTGCCAACAGGATGAAGCTGGTAGTCTTGGGTAAGGAGATTCTGGACACATTGGAATCATGGGTAGAAGAAATCTTTTCCAAGGTGCCAAACAAGAATCTCGGACAGAACCGCTGGGATGTACCTGTATACACAGAGACAGAGCTTTTGACGCAAACTTTTGCTCGGCCAGTTCTACAGTCTCGGTCGCTGGACCTTCAGTTTGCCTACCGCGACGAAGAGAACTTTTACGAGTCGCATCCATCAAGATACCTTAGTCATTTGCTCGGCCACGAAGGCCCTGGTAGCGTTCTTGCGCACCTTAAAGCGAAGGGTTGGGCAAATGGACTCGGCGCAGGAGGCTCGACTCTGTGTCCAGGGTCAGGGCTGTTTACTGTAAACATCAAGTTAACAGAAGATGGTCTGAAGAATTACAAAGAAGTCGTCAAAACTGTCTTCCAATACATTGGTCTGATGCGCGACCAGCCGCCCCAAGAGTGGGTAGTAGAAGAGTTAATGCGCATCAGTGAGGTAGAGTTCCGCTTCAAGCAAAAGAGCCCACCAAGCCGGACTGCCAGCGGGCTGGCAGGCATCATGCAGAAGCCATATGACCGCAAGATGTTGCTCAGTGGACCGGCCGTTATAAGGAAGTTCGATGCCAACCTGATCAACGAGGCCATGTCATTTCTGCGACCAGACAACTTCAGGTTGACCATCATTAGCCAAGATTTCCCGGGTGGTTGGGATCAAAAGGAGAAGTGGTATGGGACGGAGTACAAGATTGAGAGAATACCAGGAGACTTCCTTGCAGAGATCAAAGAGGCTTTTGAAAGCAAGAGCCGACCAACAGAGTTGCACTTCCCCCACAAGAACGAGTTTATACCAACTCGATTGGATGTTGAAAAGAAGGAGGTCGCACAACCAAGCAAGGAACCAAAGCTTATTCGCCACGATGACAATGTCCGCATTTGGTGGAAGAAGGACGATCAGTTTTGGGTGCCCAAAGCTAACGTTCACATATACTTCCGAACGCCAATGACCAACGTCACCGCACGCGTTACACTTTTGTGCACGCTCTATCGCGAGCTTGTGAACGATGCTCTGGTCGAGTATGCTTATGACGCTGATATTGCGGGGCTGGTGTATGATTTCACCAACCACATCAGTGGCTTGTCGATAACGGTCAGCGGCTACAATGACAAGTTGCACGTACTACTGGAGAAGGTGTTGCTCCAGGTTCGGGATCTTGAAGTCACAGAGGATCGTTTCAACATCATCCATGACCGCATGCTACGGTCTCTGCGCAACTGGGAGTACGGACAGCCCTTCCACCAGGTTGGCACTTACTCCAGACAGTTCAAGAGCGAAAAGTGCGTGATGAATGAAGAACTGCTTCCAGAACTGGACAGCATCACAGCCAAAGATGTGCAGCAGTTCTTCCCGCAGATCCTAGCTCAGTGCCAAATTGAGGTGCTTGCACATGGTAACTTGTACAAGGAAGAAGCTTTGAGAATCACCGACCTTGTAGAAAGGACTATCCAGCCCAAGCGGCTGCCTGCGAACCAGGTCCCCACCCGCCGAGGTCTCCTTTGGCCTTCGGGGTGCAACTTCATCTACGAAAAGCAGTTGAGCGACCCGGCAAATGTCAACCACTGCATTGAGTACAACTTGTACGTTGGGCATCACTATGACAATGTCACCCGTGCCAAACTATTGCTCCTTGGACAGATGACAGATGAACCTTGCTTCAATCAACTTCGTACCATCGAACAGCTTGGTTACGTCGTCTTTTCTGGGTCCAGCTTCCATGACGTCTGGTCTGGGTACCGCATTCTGATTCAGAGTGAGAAGGACTGCCGATACCTGGAGGGCCGTATTGAAAACTTCCTCAACACTTTTGAGGGAACGCTCGCTGCGATGAGCGAAGAAGACTTTGAGAGCCACAAGCGAGCCATGATCAACAAGCGTTTAGCGAAGCTCAAGAACCTTTCATCAGAAGATAACAGGTTCTGGAATCATATCTACAGTGACTCATATGATTTCCTGCAAGGTATGTCTTTCTATAGCCCTAACGGTAGGACTGTGCTAACAATCACACAGCCGACGTTGACGCTGAGAACCTTGAAAAGCTCTCAAAGAAGGACATGATTGATTTCTATGGCCGATATGTCTCGACATCGTCTTCACAGCGTTCCAAGCTGTCAGTGCACCTCCAAGCACAAGCCAAAGCCAAGGAGCCATCGATCGAGGAAAAGAAGACTGCTGCTGCTGCTTCACTTCAGATCATTCTCACCGAACACAAACTCAAGTTTGATGATGGGGCTTTCAAGATTCGAGTTGCCGATGCATCGTCCACTGACGAGATCTCAAAGGCTGTGACTCGTTATCTGAGCGAAGATATCAACGTGGAGGGTGATGTCGCAACAAAGATACTAGATGAAGCAAAGGCTGCACTCGGTGTCGCCGACTCTGGCTTGCCAGCAGCACCACAGACACTAGATGTGGCCGCGGATGTAGAGAGTGTGGTTGATGCGTCGCATCCTGTTCTCATCAAGGATGTGCATGCATGGAAGGCGAGCATGCAGATCAGTACCGGCGTGCGGCCGGTACGGAATCTGGATGAATTCGTTGATGTTGTAGAAAAGCTTTGAGAGTGGTAAAAGCCCTCGAATGTACGAAGCAGTAGTATGCAATAGAAAAGTGTAGACAAATGGATCGGCAGCGTGTCCATTGAAGCGTAGTAACAAAAAACGTTAATGACAGATGCTGTGCGCAATCGATATCATTGAACGTGCATAACTCATGTGTGTTTGGGCTCTGCAAAGTCCTCGTGACCATGTGTGCTGATGTTAGAATGGTCAGAGGAGTGAGGCTCCACATTTGCCGCATGGTAGACACACGATGAACGAGGCTCGGCCCGCTACACTTCCGATGACTTCGTCATACATACATAACAAAACATCCATACCCACCCAGCATGGAACTACAGCACGTTCTACTGCGTGAAAAAACACTCGAACCTGCGGGGTGACGCAAGAGTGCAGAGATATCAAAAATCAAGAGAGACGGAAGCACTGGCGACAACCATGCTACGAAGAAGCCTCCTACGAGCGACTGCACGTCAGCAACCTCACTGCACGCGCAACCCGACTCTCCGCCGCTATGCTACAGAACCCGTAACGCCAGTCACAGCGCCAACATCTCAACCGCGAATTGACCGCTTCAACCGCCGCCTCCCCAAGTTCCTGCACAGATACACGAATGCACTCGGCAATGCGCCCGTCACACACATAACCGCCTTCCTCATCCTCCACGAACTCACCGCCGTAATCCCACTTTTCGGACTCGCCGGCTACTTCCACTACACGCACTGGCTGCCACCCTGGATCGCAGAAGGCGCATGGGTCACCTCGGGTGTGGAGCGCTTCGGACGCTATTTCAAGCGCAAGGGCTGGATCCGCGGCGAGGAGGCGTTGGAAGCTGAGCGCGAGGTTGACGATATGCAGAAGAAGCAGAAGTTGCGGAAGGTGGATCAGGCGTGGAATGTGGGCGAGGGAGGCGTCAGGCTGGTGGTTGAGTTTGCGACGGCGTATGCGGTTGTTAAGATGTTTCTGGTGCCGAGGATCGTGTTTAGTGTGTGGGCCACCCCGGCGTTTGCGAGGTGGACGGTTGCGCCTGTGCTGAGCAGGTTTAGGACGTTATTTGGGAGGGGGAAGGATATGGGGGGTAAGGCGGCTGGGGCGGGAACAGGGGCTGTGGGAGGGAGTGCTGTGCCTAAGAGTGGGATAGGGAAGAATTGATGGTCTTGTGCAATTGTGCTGAGGAAACTTCAAGTCCAATTGTTACTGTTGGAATCGAGGGTGAAGTCTGGATTCCCCTTTCGTCCCTGTACAAACGCCTTGGGTTGAGATTTGCTTCGCTATTCGTCAATTCCCAAGCCCTTCTTACTTTCTTTATCTTCAGTTCAATCTCACACTCAACACCATGTGCTTCGGCGGCGACGAATACCAGTACGAAACTAGGGTTGAAGTCCGCAATGGCGAGCGCCAGTTAGTCAAGACCTATCTCCCACGCCATGGCATGTCCCGCCGCCGCAGGTACGGATTCGGTGGCCCTTACTACCCTTCACGATATTACGCTCGTCCGCCTTCAGGCCGCTACATAAACAGGGAGCTCGCCTATCTGGATCGTTACCCCAATGTACCGCTGTCTCAAGACTTTGTTAGAGATGTGTATCGCAGATCCTACTCTGGATATGGATATGGCACGGGATATCACGTTGGAGCTCGCGCTGCTATGCCGACTCGTTACTCAATGGTAGGTTTCTTCCGCTTTCCCTTTCCACTGAATGCTTTGCTTTCTGCCTTTTCTCCCTCACACCGCTGCTTTCTCCCCTACCATTGGCTCATATGGAGAACTACACGCTGCGGCCTTCGAGTACTGGCGCGCGGCTTTGCTCTTGAGTTCCGTTTGTCAGGTGGGTGTCTCACATCGGCCTTCACCTTGACTCTTTCCTTGCTTCGCCACACTGCAATCCCTCGATTGCCGCCTTTCCCACTTCCTCACCTCAACAGCATCGCAGCCCCCAACACCTCCATCACTTCCCAAATTCTCATACGCCCATTGCCGCAATGGAGGCATATCCGAAGCCTCGCCACCAGTACATCTACACCCCCCGCTACGGGCAACGCGGCATCCTCAGCTATGCGGGTCAAGCTCCCAACGGCGCAGCACCCACGGGCGTAATCGGCAGTGCCTATGCCTACGGAGTTGGCTACCCAGCAGCAGCAGTAGCAGCAGCGACCTGTCAACCTGTGGTATACAACACTCGCCCCTTCTACGGTCCCACCTACCTCTACCCCTACTACAACCCTGGCTACACTTACTACAACTCCAACCTCTACGGCTGCATATACCCCCTTGCTAACTTCTACTTCCCCTACCAGCGGTCCTACTACAACACTGTGCCCACCTACGGCTACACAGCGCACGTCTATCCCCCGGGCCATGCTACGACGACAACAACAACATACCACGTAACCAACGCCCAAGCCCCCGTGTACGCCTCACCCACTGCCCAGCTCCTACGCGAAACCCGGCCAGCATACGCGCACGGCCACGCTTACACGCCGCAAGCCCCAACCCGTGAGGAGATTCAGCTCGAGAATCGCCGCATTGCCACGCAGCGTGGGGCGTATGATGCACGCAAGATTCGGCCGGCAGATGCCCGCGATGACGACCCGTTTTGGTGCCGCGAGGTGAATGGCGAGTGGCATTTGCGGTCGTATTATCAGATTGAGAATGAGTGTCATCCTGGAAGGTGGATGATGGATGCTGAGATTGGGTTTTTGGTGTTTCATCGGGCGTAGGTGAGGGCTTGTGAGTGTGGTGTGGAGGTATTGGTCAGATTATGTGGAATGGGGATGAGCAAAGACAAGGCATGTTTGTGTTCTGATTTTTTTTTGATTTATGGGATACCGATTTTTTTCTTTTAGTTTTAGTCGGGTCTACGATGATGACTTGGCAGATTGGCGTTTGGAATCCTGTCATCTTTGCAGGCGGGTCTGTGTTCCACGGGATACAGTCTGATCACCTTGTCGACCACAGAGCAGTAATGAAGTAAGGCAATGTAAGAAATTTCACGGTAAACACGATGAAGAATTCGATTAAATTTGGTAACCAAAAAGTTTGTTTGCTGCCTTCACACACTACACGTGCATGAAATCGGAGACATGTACAGTATCACATCATATCGGAATCCCGAATGTAAATGCAACAATGGCGATCGGATACTGTTCTAACGGGACAGTTACCCGCTCCCATGCGATACTTTTAATCACCCGTGTTGACATTCTCCTGTCCAATGTAAATGCATTTCACTTACGCACCATACCAGGCTCTTTTCCTCGTACTGCAAATGTAGCATTACATATCTCGCCAACACAAATTGCATAACACACGTCAACACATCGTTCTCACGGACAGAATTGCAAGGAAAAACCCAAATTCCAACTTAATCACTTCAAGAACTCAGTCTCGAATCCCAGCACCACGTCACCGGACCCCAGCAATCAGCAAAAATAATAAGACAGCAAAAAAGGGGCTCTCTCCACATGAATAACAGGATGAATCTACACACGGGCTACGTGCTGAAACTTGGGCCAAGGAGGTGTGCAGCGGTGTGACGAGAAGTTTGAGATGGAGGATGAGGAGATGTGGAGTGTGAGTTGAGAGAAAGCCATTGCAAGAACGATGACAATACCACGCGACGTAACCCTAATCACAAAATCCAAGGTATCGATTAAGCTTAAAAGATTGAGGCGGAGATACTTGATATGACAATTACAAAACTTTGGGTTCTGCAAAGTTTGCGCCATCTTTGAAGTAATTGATCAGCATCAGATGAATCTGTCAGGCAGATAATTGCTATGACGTTTTGTATTCAAAAAGAGATCGTATTTCAGATGGGGGAATGCAAGTATGGGTTTTAGCGCTAAAGACGCTGTGGGCAGTTGCTACGAGTTGTCATGTTGATACGTCTACTTGCTTTGAGCACGATTGCGCTGATAGGTATCTATCTAGGGTGTTATGCGTTTGTTCCATCGTTTCAATCCAAACATCTAGATTATTGAGACAGATATAGTGAGGGAGAACCGTCTGTGCTATGTACAGAGAACGGTTTCTGGGTTTGAAGGGATTTTCCATCTGGGACAGAACATCCAGCCTTTTCCAACAATTTACAGGTGGAATATCTTGAACGCGTGGAAGTGGCTAGTACAGATTACTACTCTGATATTGATGAAAGTGCCGCATCTCCAGTCGCTTGCGTGGTGGCTGCGTGGGCATGTGAATCCGTCTATGCTGGCATTGCGACGTATCCCCTGTGGAGAGCGAAGCAAGCGTACTAATATGAGCATGCAAATTGCTCCTACCATGATTTCTGGAACAAGCGCAGAACTGGAGAACGGCAGAAATTACAGTTGAGGGTGAGAAGTTCCGCGTGTCTTTTTTTAGTAGTAGTTCCGGCTTAATCAACCCTCGTATTATGTTGGTAACTGTAAATCGTGTAGATAAATTCCGTTCGCTTTGTATAAATATGGTATTAAGACGATAAAGTTCCATAAGAAAGCTTTCCTCGTTTGGAAGCTTCACATTTGATATATCTTCGACACAAAGAAGAAACTGTCCGCTAGCTGAATAAGGACTCTGGGGAAACATTGCACAACTATTAATCAAATGTAAAGGCCGAAAATGACAAAAAACATAAAGTAAAAACAGAAACTAGCGATTGTCAAATTAATATTTCAAAGTACCTTTCACATACCATTTCCCTATTTCTCCAACCCCGCCACAGCCTCGCCCTGACGTCACAAGCACCCCCACACTTCTCGCAGCTCATCTCCGAACCCTCGACCCGACAAACTTTAGCTCAGATGCCGCAGCAGCAACCACAACGACAACCCCACTCAACCGGCTCGCACCTCACCACATTCCTCTTCGTCTCCATATTCGTCATATCGCTGTTCCCTGGCATCTTCGTATCCATCTTCTGGGCGCCATACAACAGTCTCGCAAATTATTTTGTACCCACACCCGCACCGCGCAAAAGCGTCGTCTGTACCAGTCCGAACATCTGCTCCCCACCGCCCACAATGTCTTGGTAAGTTCAGCAACACCCCCACCAATTAATATGCCCTACAACGTAACTAACGTGTCTTAGGTACCAAAAATCACTTACTCTGCCCTCGCGCTCCCGCGGCTGCTACCTCATCACCGACCACATTCTCAAAGAAGTCCCGGAGATCAAGCAGTACAAGACGGGTCTCCTCAATCTCTTCATCCAACACACATCCTGCGCCCTTTCACTAAACGAGAACTTCGATGAGGATGTGCGCGCGGATATGGGCACGGCGCTCGATCGCATTGTGCCGGAGGACAAGAAGAACCAGGGTCTCTATTTGCATGATGCAGAGGGCAGCGATGATATGCCGGCCCATGTCAAGTCTGCGCTGATTGGCGCAAGCGTTACCATACCGATTACGAATGGGAGACTGAATACGGGAACTTGGCAGGGCATTTGGTACTTGGAATTTAGGGATTCGAAGCATACGCGCAAGGTGGTGGCTACCATTCAGGGAGAGAAGATGTAAAGAGGGGTCTGAGTGATATGATATCCATGGTTAGATTCTGACCAATATATTTTGAGCTATGATAAGTCAAGTTCACAGATTTTCAACAATTACTGGACAAGTGGGCCATGTGCTTGTAGTTTAGGTGCCTTGCTTCAACATTTTACCCGCCAGCTGATCAGTTTTCCGAAAACAGTGTTAACATAGAATGGTCAAGTTCATGTGTCATTTAAGCAAAATCAGTGGTATGCCTGCTTACAGGACTTTCAATTGAAGCACATATATACACCCTCACAAAATTCAAGACGGGTTTACCGCTGTGAAAGCGGCTCGTCAGTGACCTTTTGTGTCTCGTTGACTTCCGCCGCATTGCCCTTGGGTTTCAGTGGGTATGAAAGCTCGTGCTCGGGGGTGGCTTCGAGGACAGCGCGGTGCTTCTCATGAGCCTATGTAGTGTTAGTAATTATCCTGTCAAGCCCGAATCCGCCAATTTTCTGTAATTCAAGAATCGCAGCTTGAATCAGCAAGTCTGATACGTACAAAGGGCAGACCACAGTATGTGCACCAGCAAATCTGGGGCTTATCTGTGTTGATAAAGATCCGGGGGTGTCCGAGAGGGCCACCTCCTCCGTCACATGATACGACGCGGTCGTGTGTCCAGCGGACAGGTTGCTGGTGGATGAGCTCAATGGCAGCATACGGGCGTGGCTGAAAAGTTCCCGTTAGCACTTGTTTCGCTGTTCTCGTTCTTCCCACTAGCAACCGCTTGCTCCCTGCCTAGGAACCACATAACGCCCAATCTTCATATCCCCACCACATCTCCCAGCAGAGCCTAGACATACCTGATCCGCAATAATGGTCTGCTCAAATCTCGGCCCGCTCATCGCAACCGCCCTCGGGTTCTGACTCCTCGACCAGATACCCTTGTAGTTGGGCGCCTGTGTGGTCCTCAACTCCTCAGCATCCTGCATAGACTCCTGAAGAACTTGATCGAAAGAGCCCTCGGAAGAGGTGGCCATTTCATTGGTTGCCGAGACATTCTGCTTCGCGTCGCGCTTGACGGGGTCGTTGGCGGGGACCTGGTTGCTGGTTGTAGCGGTCGAGACATAGCGGGCAAAGGGGCGGGAGGCGGCCGCTGCGCTGCGGGAGCGCAGAGCGCGAAGGGTGACGGGGAGCATCTTGGGAGAGGTGTGGGTGCAGACGGGCTGCGCAATTGCTGGGCGAAGATGCGGGTTGTGTGGTTGAAGTTGAGCTTCTGAGCATTCGCGCTATACGTGACTTACATAAGCAGAGGTATCATTGGCTCAACTCTTCGTCACTCTTTTGTCCACCTAGTTCCTCGACTGCAAGTTGTCAGTGATTTCCCTGCATATTCCTCATTTGAGGTGACGAATTCTTCTTGAAAATTTCTCCAAATTAGCCATCTTGGTGTATTTTGTCTTCTTCAAGATAGCCAAGGAAACAGATTGGATGGTGGCTCCTGGTCTTCGCATACCATGCAGAATGTCCTCGTTTGGCATTTTCACTCATATAATGCTTAGCAGAATGCTACTTACCTTAACTCATGGATCTCAGAAAACCTTTATTATTTTGTCTCGCGGCACTGGAATCATTTTTCGAGTTTATTATCAATGTACTCATGCTTGAAACAGGATAAATCTTCGATCTTGAGAAAGCAATTCTTTCTTCCAGTATAACGACAAGAAATCTAGTGTGAGGCTGTGAGATATGGCTTATAGTCAAGCATTGGGGACGAACTTTGAGTAATGGGATGATGAGTATTCTAAAAGCGAGTTTCTTCTAGCAGAACACACAAACGTTAGCTAAATTACCATTGTAAAAGGAAGAGTTGGGACTATGTGCAACATTGCAGATTCATTCGATCTAGGGAATCGTGCGAGCAAATGCTCCCTAGGAATGCTGCTCATGCACTTCTATGATAGCCGAGTCGGTGATCGGCTCTCCGCTAACCCCGGACCCTTGATCAATCTTCATCTCTACCATCAGGCCATCACACCATAAGCACCATGTGGAAAAATCTGACAAGTTCCCTCTCCCCATAAACATCATCAAATTTGTCAAGATGGTCGGGTCCATACCAAACGACATCTTTCAATTCTCTACAGTCGCCGCTCTCAAGGCCGGCTTCAACCAAGGTCAACCACGAACATCAGATCTCACCTCACACGGCTCAGACGGCATTGGTGTCTACGAAAATGGCAATCTCATGATGCTGAAATCCGGCCAAGCCTTCACCATCACCAAAGAGGGGAAAGCCAAACCAGCACCTGCAAACGCACGCCTTCCCCTCGCTCTAGTGACTGTTTATGAGCCTAACTTCCGTATCAAAATACCGTCCATAACCATAGACGGCCTCGAGGAGCTCACTTCTTCCGATGAATTGGGACCTACAAAAGGTGTCAATACGCTCATGCCATTCAGAATATTCGGCCGCTTCGAATCGATAGAGTTTGAACATGGGCCTGGCCGCAACGCAATCGATGGTGTCATTTTCGGTTTCATTGTGCCGGAATGGATGAAGGCTATCAGTGGACCGCGTATTCATGCACACTTTCTGGATACGAGCGAGGAGGTTGGTGGCAGGGTGACGGACTTCCAGATGGCGGATCAGGCGTTGTTGGACTTTGCAAAGTGTGGGAGGTTTCATTTGGGGTTTCCGCAGGGAGAGGAGTGGGAAAATATCAAGCTGTGATGAAAGTTTTCGTACTGGAATGAATCGGAGACTTTGCAGATGACACAAGAGATTACATGACGAGGATAATGATAGGAAATGATACCGATGAAGTATGATTGCATACGAACCTAGCGAATGGATATGATTAATTCAAACAAGAGGAACTATGTGGGATCGGATCTTTCCTTTTTCATCGTTTTTCCTGTGCCTCGGCTTGGTGTTAATTGGTTTTGCAAGATTGTGGGTTGCGGCTCTCCTTCTAGACATAAACTCTGTGCACGCTTTGTGGCAGAAGCTGTAAATAAACCCAGCCGGCCTTTCCGAGGTGCGGATCATTACTAAGAGCATTCACGAGATCTTACACTTACCAAAGCGCTAGTTGTAAGGTCGGTATTCCGCCTGGTAGTTCATGTGGGACTAGCGGCAGCGGCTGCGGCGATGCGCTCGGAGGCCTTCCTTATCAGGGGGCTCCGCCTCACATGTGGCGTCAGCAGCTTGAGAGGTACCATAGCAACACCTCAGCCTCGACTACAGTCACCACCTTCCTTGCTTCCTCCACCTCACAAACAGCTTCAACCACATGCGCGAAACTGCCAATATGACGAGGAACCCTCCTGCTCTACGCAAAGCAACTTCGAATGCCGATCTGTACTCTGACCCGTCACCGCCTCGCCCGTTGCGACCCTCGTCCTCGGTGATACTAACACGCGCGCATACCACCGCGTCTCTGCCATACATGCAACGTCCAGACAGGGGGAACTTAGCAAGAGTGTGGAGGACCCGAGAAGGTAACTCTGATACGAGCAACCGTCATAGTGTCGCAGCATCATACCCTGACTTGATTCGTGCCTGCGACGACGACTACCCGCCCCCAGCAAGGCAACAGAACCCTCCGCCTGTACCCCCCAAGATTCCCGAAGTACCCAGTGAGCAACCCGAGACGGAAATGGAGGCTCCTAAGACTGTACCTTCTCACTGCTGGATCCCGGTACCTTCGCGTACCAAAGAGGACCCGGCAAGCTACACGAAGCCTTTCACCGACTACATGACCAACAACCCTACCATCTTCCACGCCGTCGATGCCGTCGCAAAGGACCTCGAGAAAGATGGCTACAAGAAGTTATCTGAGCGGGACGCATGGGAGTTGAAGGCTGGAGGCAAATACTACGTCGAGCGCAATGGTACTTCGTTGATTGCTTTTGCTGTTGGAGACAAATACGCGTCCGGCAACGGTGCAGCAATCGTTGCAGGACACATTGATGCTCTGACCGCGAAGCTCAAGCCCATCCCTACGTTGCGCACCAAGGCTGGCTATGTGCAGCTTGGTGTAGCGCCATATGCTGGTGCGCTCAGTGACACCTGGTGGGACCGCGATCTTGGTATTGGCGGCAGAGTGCTTGTCAAGGAGAACGGCAAGATTGTCACAAAGCTTGTCAAGCTGGACTGGCCCATTGCGAAGATTCCGACTTTGGCACCGCATTTTGGCGCTGCTGCCAATGGCCCGTTCAACAAGGAGACCCAGATGGTCCCGATTATCGGTCTCGACAACAGTGATATGGGACCTTCTTCGAGTGAGAACGAGGCAGAATTCAAGGCCAGCCTTCTTGGTGGAGAGGGTGCTTTTGCCTCCACTCAACCTGAGAGGCTCGTCAAGGCTATCTCCAGAGAGCTTGGCGTCACCGACTGTATGTTACCATATGCTCCATCTCTGAATTCCACGCAACTAACCATCAACAGACTCCAGCATCGTCAACTGGGAACTCGAGCTCTTCGATACCCAACCCGCCCGAACCGGCGGCTTAGACAAAGAATTCATCTTCGCAGGCCGTATTGACGACAAGCTCTGCTCCTGGGCCGCTGTCCAAGCACTCCTTAACTCGGCGCCCACGCTCTCAAGCTCCTCGCAAATCCGCATGGTCGCCCTCTTCGACGACGAAGAAGTCGGCTCCCTCCTCCGCCAGGGCGCCCACGGCAACTTCCTCCCCAGCATCATGGAGCGCATAGCGGAGGAATTCGCACCAAACGGCAAAACAAGCAGCGCCCTCAGCCGGACCTACGCCAACTCATTCCTCGTCTCGAGCGACGTCATTCACGCTGTGAACCCCAACTTCCTAAACGCTTACCTCGAGAACCACTCCCCCCGCTTGAACGTGGGCCCCGCTGTGTCAGCCGACTCAAATGCGCATATGACGACCGATGCCGTCTCCACGGCTATCCTGCAGCGCTGTGTCGATCGCGATGTGGGAATCCGCAAGACGGATCCTAAGCTCCAGGTATTCCAGATTAGGAATGATAGCCGTAGCGGAGGTACTGTGGGACCGATGCTCAGTGCTGCGACGGGAATTCGGGCTATTGACTGCGGTATCCCGCAGCTAAGTATGCATAGTATCCGCGCGACGACGGGTAGTCTGGATCCCGGATTGGGTGTGTTTACTTTCCAGAGCTTTTTGGAGAACTTTGAGGCTGTTGATCAGGAGTTCAAGTGAGAGCATTTCAGACTTCTTTTTGTCTCTTTCCTTTCTTCGCTCTCGTTCGATAGCAACGTTGGCGGACGCGACACGTGTTGGGGTTATTGAATCATGGTAATTACGTACGCACATATATACATGACGCGACTTTGTACAGTCAGCATTCGGCAGTTATAAAGCAAAGAGTCCAATCGTCATATTCGTCACACATGCTAAGCCGATCAACTATGAAAATTAAACATCTCCCAAGGCCCTCCAGCGCCATCCTTTGGCAAGATAAATCCCGTTAACTCCATCATGATGCCGCAAAAATTAAGATCATACAACGTAAACAGCTCTTCATGGACCGTTGGGCCGCGAGGGCATCTCTTCGTCTTCATCTGCGTCTTCCGGGTGGCTAGCTGCCCGTTAGTGGCGACTCATGCTCAGAGCGGCGGACAGCAAGACTTACCCTAGCAGATCCTTGACGTTTTTCATCTCGTAATGCTTCTTGCGCAGCTCCTCAAACTTGCGGTGCTTCTCCTTTTCCTCCTGTGTCGCGTTGGGGAGTAGTTCGCCGTGGTAGCCTTCGTCCGTGTCCATGCCCTCGCCAACAATGACTCGCTTCTCGCTATCGGGCGTGTGTGAGTGGCGGGCCTGTAGCTCGGGCTGGCCGAGGTCAAACTCGGGGATATCGTCAATCTTTGGCTTGCGCTTCGCCTTGTCGAGCTCGTCGACATTGAGCTCCTGAGCATTCAGCATCTCGACTTCCTCTTCATCCTCAGCGGGGTCGTATTGCTTGGCATAGGGCGTCTTTGGCTCGTCAATCTTCATGGTGCTGTCACGGTTCTGCTCGTTGAGGTAGAGATTGGCCTCGTCCCACTTGAGCTGGGGGCTGGCGTCGCCTGTGGGGTCTGCGCCCGATTGGCGCCGCGACGCCAGGCCACGAGGGTTTGACGACGAGCGGCGGTGGGCGCCAGCATTGCGTAGCGTGTTCTCGAGCACGATTTCCTTCTCCGACAGCTCACGGCCAAGCTGCGGGCGCTCCGAGGAAATTGGGCTCGTGGCAGGCGGCAGGTCGCGAGTAGGCGATGTGTGTGAATTTGAGCGGTAAGAGGTGGAGTTCTTGAGGATACCTGGGCCTGTTAATCAAGGGTGCGGGCGAAGCGGGGTATTTTTCACGGGCGCACCCTTTGGCCGCTCAGGATGCGAGGTGGGCGAGTGCAGCTGGGGCGATTGTGCCGTCATTGCGTAGGCGATGGATGGTGGTGTGATTGCTTCTTTTCAAGAGAAGAAGGGCTGCTGGGCACGTGCAAGAGAGCAGTGGTGCGGGGCGTGAAGTCGGGTGGTTGGGAGGTAGCAGTAGTGGGATGGGAGCGGGAGACTGGCGTGGAAAAGCAAAAGTGGCGGGGGCCGGGGGAGCTTTGTATGGAGAGGAGGGAGAGGGGGAGAAGAGGCAGACAAGCAGGCAGCGCAGGAAGCGATAGGGTCGGGTTAGTGAGGCCGCCGAGGAAAGCGCAGTCGGCGTGGTGGGGGTGCGTTGTCCTGGTGAAGACACAGAGCACCGAACGATGACGTCGGCGGGATCTTTGTTTTGCACCCCCCGCCCGCCGGTTGCTCTGCCTGCAAGGGCGGCAGGGCTAGAAAGGACAAGGGGAGACTCCCCGCAGCGCACGACTATTCCAGCGACCTACATACACCTCCGGGCTTAACGCGGCTGTCATTGTCTGACAGATGCAAAATGCGGCCGCGCCATGCCCGACTGCTCGATAGACTACACATGTACACAGTAGGGCGAACATCAACACTGGGGCGGACCCATGACGACAAGCGAGGGCTTGCTCCACCCATTGGGCAGCACACTGCGACGCTTGTAAGACTCGCCCCCATGGACTCGCGCATCCTGACAATCACATGCAAACGGGAGGGGCGCACGTGAAGAGCTATGCAGGTGCGCTCCTGTATGGAATGCTGTCGGTCGTGTACGCAATCCATCTACAAGCTCTCTTTGGGCCTTCCGTCCACCCTGCATGGACAGGGAATCCATGGCTACAGCGGCACATAGCGCCAGGCTACTGTCATCTACCACCGACCATCAACACCAGCATTGCCAAAGTGTACAAGGTTTGGCTTGACTGCCCACCCTCCACTCGGGTCTCATGAGACGGTGGTGATGCTGCTTGGGTTGCAATGCTGCACACGGGTAGGAGCTATCGCCGATACGCTTCGTGGATTGGGGACTGCTGGGCAATCACCAATTAGCACACCTGGTTCTCAGAGCAACCCCAGCCACACAAACACACACAAGATACAGCCAATCGCTTCAGACTTTGCCTTTGAGCTTCATGCTCAACCAAGAAATCGCTTGCGCGATAGTGTACATCTGGCTGAGACTCAGACTACCAGAAGTGGTCCACAAGGACCCTCATCCCCAGCCATGGCGTGACAAAATTAGCGATGCACACATACAAAAATCAAGTCGAGACGGCCAGCGGCAAACAGCTGCCGTCTCAACGCGTCAAGCGCGTGATGAATAAATGTCCCTGCTTTCAGGTCATCACCGCATCATGGAAGCCGCGAAAAGCGGCCCTCGTGATGATGGTTTTAGAAGAGGATGGCTCGTTCTGGGCCAGTTGTCCGAGTTGCCAGCTGAGTAGAGAGTGTCGAGCTG